CCTGGAAGCTCTTTAGCCTTTTGTATCCCATCATCCATCCACTCATGCAAAGTGCTAACGAACGTACAGCTGGGTGAATTGGACTTGAATATATAGGCATTGGCATGAGTGAAATGGGGTGAGCGTGTGTTGTGTATGATTTTCATCACGTGGGAACTTTAACAATTTAATGTGGAAGTTATGGCCGTAGTTCCCTAATTAAGTTGATTTGGGATCAAAGGTAACTTGGCACAGCTTTCTCAAAATATATATACACATCCATGGATCATGTTTCATTAACATCCAACAACATCCCAATTCTATAGCTTTGTGTATGGCAAAGGTATTTTCCTGATGACTAAAAGTCATCCCTTAAATGCTGCCTTTTTGTGTGTGTGTGTGAATTTGGAGATGAAAGAATGGCGCGAACGCGCTAAGCTCTTTTTCACGTGATACACATTCAAAAAAAGAAAAATCGGCACGTGTTTTCGCTGCCACGGTATGTCAATTGATACAGTGGGATGGAGAAGACGCAGTGGAATGATATTGTTTGCCATTTGATGTGAAACGAGAAATCGTCCTAATTTCAATCAAACTCGAAAATCGATTTTCACTCACTTTGACTTTCTCGCCCTCTGTATATATGGGTTGCGTTGCTTGGTTTAGGGGATGAATATTTGATGTATCTTCTGACTCTCTCGTGAAGGGAAAAAGCTCTCAAGCACTCATCCAGCTTATGGTTGGTGTGATTATTTTGAAAGAACCTTGAAAGATAAGGTGTTTATGGCAAATAAGAGGGATTTTGGCCATTGTGATATGAAATCTTTTCAATGTATTGTACCGTGAGTACATTGGAAGCTGTTACAATAATGCTTTTGTGATTAAACACCAACAGAAAGATTCATCGAGATTCGTTATTTATAGATTCAAAATTCGTACTTTTGAGTTGATTACAAAGAAACAGCGTTAATCAAAGAAAGGCACACCAATAACAGAAAACTGCATAAGAGACAAATCCAGCTTTGTCTCAGAGTACATATTGAGTGACACAAATCGAAATGTGTCATTTCTACTGCTTTGCTGTGGCACTTTGATTAAAAATAGCTTCTAGTTTTTGATTTTGGTGTCAACCATAAAAGAAATGTTATGAATTCTTGACAATTTCTACGTATTAAAGACGAATTTTTGGTATTATTTGGTATTCGAATGTCATCGTACAAGTCCTAAAGCATTCAAAGTAATTAAAAGCACTTGCTGACCATCGAATAATTATTGTGGTTAACCCTGCATCTTCCGCAATATTGTGCCTAATCCTGGGAGAGTAATTGTACAGCTTCTTCTGTGACTGTGAATGTCAATATCTGTGGTTATTTGCGGAAGTGAATGCGACAAGTTTTGGGAGGAAGGGTGGGAATCTCATTTTGTGGCATTCAGTCCCATCGGATGGTTAGGGAGCGCGTCAAACCCGGATCCGAACTGTGTGGATGTGCGGTGTGAAGAAATAAAAGCCACGAGCACCGCAGATCTAATTCTTTGGAGACTCTTAACGTCTTTCTTGGGGGTTTTCCGGGTTATTTTTTTTTTCCTATTTTGCCTTTGCGCCCCACTTTCTGGCTGTCAAATTATATATTGGAAAAGAGGGAACCATTCACGCTTTTGGTCCATCCATCCGGTGGAGAGTCGCCAACCAGTTGAGGGCGCAGTCGTTTTTCCACTCGTTCATCCCCCGCGGGAAATCATTCACCCTCCGCGGCGGTGTACAATGGGACGGTGGGAGGCCAACTGGGCAAACAGAGTTAAGGAAATGCCGTGGGGAGAATTTGTCTAGATAGCACGCAATGACTCTCTCAATGCTGATCAAATATGCCAGCAGAGAAGGCCTCCTGGGGAGGGCAAAAGCCATCCGGGGCGATGTTGAGCAAATAGTGGATTTTATGGGCGACTCCACGCCCTCATCGTCGAGTCAATGGCAGTCCGGCGGGGATTAGGAGAGTGTGAACTTGCACTGGAAGCTCACAATGTCGTCAACAGGTTGGAATCTGCATGCGTGGCAACTCTGGGTGTATATAAAAGTTGTATGGAAAGAATCCCTTTTCCTGTCAGCCATGTGAGCATGAATATAACGCATTTGTGCGTTTGGGGAGAATGACAGATGTGAGTTGGAGAACAATATTTATATATATATATATATATTTTTTGTCATGACGCTTTTTTTTCTATCATTCCAACACTCACAAGAACGGCGTTGAGTGGAGAAGTGAGATTGCAAAAGGATGGCAAGCTGTGGAGCTTTGGATATGTGATCATTTGTTCACAACACCACTTCGGAAATATCCTTTCGCCTCGAGACAAATATTGGATTCTCTGGGAAATTCAATTGAGCTGTTTTCATCCTTCTCTTCTTCTTCCTCTTTGGTTCTGTGCAAATCGGATCCACTGGTGGATTGTTTAATTTTCTGATACATTAAGAAGATCATAGAATTTGTGTGGATATAAGTTGTAATTAGAGAACTAAAGGAAATTGTTTGAGATTTCAATGAGTCAGACATTAGAGAAATCCTTCAAATGTCTCTTTCAGGATACTTTTACAATGAATTTTCTGCTAAAATTCACGTGAAAAGTTCATTATTTCACGATGTGTTGTGATAAAAGGTTATCTTGAGGAGCAAGGACGCTCGTTGACCTTTAATGCTGCCTCGAAAACCTCGCTAGAAAGAATGCTATTTATGACAATCTATATTGTAAAATATTGTCTGTCGCTCTTTTGGCAAGCACAAATCACATGAAATGCCCAAGAGACTCTTCGACACATTTTTTTTCATCATCATCATCAATATATTGCTTCACATAGTGGAACAAAAAAAGGAGGAAAAAGAACTTCCAACATTATTCAACATCCTTCGCCTTTTTTGCAGCCATCCTTCAAATTGTCGTCTAAAGTTTTTTTTTTCCTCGTCCTCCTTTTCAACACTGAATAGCATATAAATTGTCTCTTTATCATCGGGTTCTTGCGACGCAACAAAGACAGCAAAATGTAAATTTGTCTTGTGTGTTGGTGAAAAAATGAATATAATTTTCACTTATAACACACCCCTCATGAAGTGCCGCTCTTCTGGTCCCATTTCCTCAATTTTCCCATCATCTGCGACAGACACAACACTCACGCATCGCTCCTGCTTTGCGACAATTGATTTAGGAGGCTAGGAGTGGAAAGTTGTGTGCTGGGGAGAGTGAGAGGGAGACGCGCACGAGTTCCAGAGGCCGAGGGTCGGCTAAAGCGATAAAAGTCTTGTTTAACAAAGTGATAGAGGAACGAAGACACGAAGCTTTAAAGGCGATTTTTTTCTTCTTCCTTAAAGGCACAATCCGATAAATCCTTGAAACTACACGCTTCTTAAGCTTCAACTCTCATTCCAAACTCGATGAGGCAGCAAGAGGGATTTATATGTTGACTCACGACTGAAGTATATGTATAAGTGATTTTTTTTTAATAAAAAAAATTCTTCGAGTGCTTTTGAAGCGATAGAATATAATATATACAAACAGAAGAAAGTTAATTGAGAAATTGTGACATTTTTCACTGTAAAGCAATGATTTCCCATGGCTTTCACATTAATTAATTTAATTTTGAAACTCAGAATGGCGCGAATGTTTCTATGAAAAGCCAGAAATTTCACTACATATTCATAGAATGTTCTTTTTGTTGGCAATTTGTGAACACAAAAAACCACTTCAACATTGTCAATGGAAATTGCAATGATATTTCTAAAAGTGTTTGTTTTTACGGAGTGAAAACCTAAACTTTTTAATAATATTTCATACTGATTAATGAAGATTGAAATGTGTCAATTTGACTGAAATTTATCTCTCGAGTTTCGTCAAAAGTGAAGAGAATCACTTATTTGATAATTCATTGGAATAATTCAGCATCTGAAGTGAATTAGGGTTGATTAAATATATAGATTGTCACATAGACTTCAAATTGGACGCGTAAATGAGTTCATAGTGGAACTTGTCAATGGCTTTCGACAAGGATAATCAATATATTTTTGTGTTATAAGGGATGCATATGCATAGTATCATTAACTTCTCTTATTCTCTTTCACACAATATGAGACGACATGGAAGCAATTATATTGGATTAAGCTTGAGTGTTTCATCGATTTTTCATTACTGACTATATTCTCGCTTTCTTTTCCTCTCAATTTTGTTGCTCTCAAAAAGAAAAAAAAATTCTCAGTGATATTATTTTGAGGGTAAAATGAATGCGATTTTTTTTCTCTGAAAAACATATAATTTCAATTCAATTGAATTCAATTAAATTTATGTGAAAAGCATTTTCCTATTGTAAATAGGACATCAATCTGTTTTCATCACTGGTGAGTGCAGAATTTCCACAAAACCTCATGCAAATATTGTATTTCAATGCAGCGCATATGAAGTATCATACCACAAAACACTGTAATAATATGACAGCAGTGTGAAACAATTATAATTATTTTGACTTCCATCCCTGACAATTAAACTTTGAGTGCAATATTAAACCGATGAATGTAAATTGTGTATATAAGTGAGTTTTCTGAGGGGAATTTATTGTTTGTGAATGTAATTAATAAAGTTTCACCTATTCTAAAACTCATTTCTCAATGGGTGATACGAAAATCATGTGACAAATGGAACTTCAGAGATAATTCATACTTCTGCATTTGACACAAAAATCAACAGTATCAAAATTGGCTTTTCAATTCTGAGTGCGTTTCCTCACACTGCTGCACATGCTGTGTGAGCTGCAATTCCAGTGAATTTCTCATTTAATTTGGCCTGTGCAGGGTATTTGTGGTGAAAATTCAAAGGCTCATTAGTGGGTTACCACGTAATTTGGGTGAATGATTGAATTGGTCAAACTTCAGAATTTGTGGGAGTGAAAATTGCATAATTTACATTGATTTTCAAATATCTTTTATGAACACAAAGGCTTTTCAACTTATGCAGAAACCCTATTTTGTTTCACTATCTTGCAGATTAGCCAAAGGAGAAGTGCGTGAAGAAATGGAGATGATGAATTTTCCATCAACGAATTGCTTCAACTGTTAATTTTGGTCACTTTGTGTGCTCTGTGAAAAATTGAGGATCAAGCTTGAGGAGGAGACAGTTTAACAAGCATTGCCAGGAACAGAGCACAAAGTGAGGAGCAGCACCGCACACAAATTCTGTCATATGTGGTTGTGGATGCTGTGCAACAGGAAATTAATGTGTCATATTCAATAATTCCTGCCCTGTGGAGAACAGAGAGAGAGAGAGAGAGAATCTGTGGCGTGGCGTTTGCAGTGACGAATAGTGATAGGATATATTTTGTTTGGGACAATTGTAACGACGGAAGGAAATCAAAGTGGAATCTGATAAGGGAATTCATCGTGCTACAGTGAAGAATGTCGTCCAGGAAATTGGAATCCCCACCAATATCTAATCAATATTCAGGAAGTAATGCAATCTCAAGTGGAAAATCACCTGTGCCGTCCCCTGATCCAGATATTGATGATCCAAGCTCAAAGCGGCAGGCGACGAGGTGAGTTTTCTTTTCTCTTTTGACTTCTCCTGCTTTCTCTGTCTTTCTCTCGCTATTCATGTGGTGGTGTGTTTGTGGCCAAAGAGATGAGGGAGAGAGAGAAAGAGGGAAAACTTTGCCGCCAGGCGAAAGGACATTTTTCACCGTCCATCAATCATGTTATCAATTTACTGATTAACGTCTGAGTTAATTGTGTGGGAGTGGATTTTGATTAATGGCACTTTTTCTGCAAACTCCACGAACGTTAAGAGTCCATTAGACTCTATTTAATAAGTTTTTTTTGGGGGGTTTTGTATGCAAACCAGTCTAGCCAAAATCTCATACAAACACACGCAATAGAAAATTAAATTAATAACTAGATTTAATACAATTTGCACATCGTGGTGAGATGAAATATAAATGCATTACTGGACTTTGTAAATCGTTTATAAATTTAATTGACGCGTGGGAGACAATTGTGTTATATTGCTCATTACATCCATCAACGATATTAACGTCACTTCCAGTCAAGTTTTCCACACAACACACACATTCTGTTAGTTGGAAAAGTGCAGCATATGTTTGAGCATGAATGAATTTAATATGATTTCCATTATCAGTCTCTTTTAATGGTGTAATGTGATATATGAACACTCACAATTCGAGTTTACATGCTATAAATTGAGAGCTTATTTGAGTTAACATTTTTATTCCTGAGTCATTTTATTAATAACACTTTTAATACCTTTTGGCACAAATAGTTTTGATACAGTGGAAGAAGAGTATTGAATTTCTGTGTGCCCACATTAAATTACAATGAGTCAATAATGTGTTGATATGAATATATCACAGATTGACACATTTGTGATTAATTTGAATTTCCGAGAAAATAATAGAGAGGTAAATCAAAATTCACTCTCCTCTTTTGCGGCGTTGCAGAATTGTGATGAAAAAAAAAACATTGTCATCATGTTTTCTATAATAATTTCCATACAAAATCATTGATGAATGAATAACTAAAAAGTATGAGTTTCAGTGAATAGATCAAACCGACTATTGTTTTCTGTGTGTGTCTGTGTTTTGCAGAGTTTTCAAAAAGAGCTCATCAAATGGCAAAATAACGGTGTACCTCGGAAAGCGCGACTTCGTTGACCACATCACTCATGTTGATCCAATTGACGGCGTGGTGCTGATTGATCCGGACTATGTGAAGGACAGAAAGGTGTTTGGCCACGTGCTGGCCGCTTTTCGCTATGGTCGTGAGGATTTGGATGTCCTGGGCCTAACATTCCGGAAAGATTTGTATTTAGCGTCAGAACAAGTGGGTGAAGAGAAAGATGTGGAGAGGAGTAGAGAGCTGATATTGGTCCTTTCTCTCTCTCTTTGCAGATTTATCCGACAACTGGGAGTGATCGTCCACTGACGCGACTCCAGGAGCGACTGATCAAGAAGCTGGGCCCTTATGCATTCCCCTTCTATTTCGAGGTGCCGCCGCACTGTCCGGCCTCAGTGTCGCTGCAACCGGCGCCCGGGGACACGGGAAAGCCGTGCGGTGTGGACTATGAGCTGAAGGCATTCGTGGGCGAGAGTCAGGATGATAAGCCGCACAAGCGAAACTCGGTGCGACTGGCCATTCGCAAGATCATGTATGCACCGTCGAAGCTCGGCGAGCAGCCGTCGATTGAAGTGAGCAAGGAGTTCATGATGAAGCCAAATAAGATTCACCTGGAGGCGAGTCTGGACAAGGAGCTGTATCACCATGGTGAGACGATATCGGTGAATGTTCATATTGCCAATAACTCCAATAGGACTGTGAAGAAGATTAAAGTTACCGTGCGGCAGTTTGCGGATATCTGTCTATTCTCGACAGCTCAATACAAATGCACTGTGGCAGAAGTGGAATCTGAGTGAGTATTGAAGTGTTTTGTGTGACAAATCAATTTTCTTTTCTCACTTCGTTTTCCTCTCACCGAAACAATAATAATAATAATAATAAGAAAATAATTTCTCCCATTTGGTCTGCGCGAAAAGTAAGAAATGTGGAAAGAGATTTTATATATTTTGATTCTGAGATTCTGTGCACAGACGCAGAACATTATTTATGCAAGATACACCATTCCTTTTTTAGCAATCTGTATCTTTTCCATTTTGCATCTCCGCAGGGGAAAGAAGGACAAAAAGGAGCGGAAATTGCCAGTGAATCAGTAAATCACTACCTTTTCCCCTCTTTCCTTCACAATTTCTTATTCATTACCATCAATTTCTCACACAATATTTTCTTATTTACTACTACATCGTTAAATGATGAATTTCTTTCCACGCAATTCTCATATGGTATGATAGTAAAAATGCTGAATCCTTTTTTTACGTACATCCACGCACTGTGGTTGTGTTATCATCAAATGCTCTCGCTTTTCTTCTCTTTCTCTATCCACCACTTTCACCCATAGGATGGGTGAAAGTGTAATAAAATAAAACTACATACAATATAAATAAGAGAGAAGATGGTAAGAATAAAATTCGATTTCGCAGAATCTTGGGGTTTTTTTCTGGATTGTGCGGAGAAAAAGTTCTTAACGCAAGTATTGTTGTCAATGCAATAAAGGACAAATTATGTTTGGTGAGAAGAAGACGAGGACAAAAGCCTTCAAGACGCATTACTCTTATATAGTTGTGATTCTTCTCCACAAATCATTTTTATTTCCTATTCAACGGAAAATCGAAGCTGATGCTTCAAAGGGAGAGAGAGAGACGTAAGAATATAGCACTGGAAAGAGGAGTTATTATGAGTTTGCATAGCAGCAATGGAATAGCAGAGGTAAAAATACGTTTAGGGAATATTGAGATGTGATAAGTGTGATTCTAACGTGAAGTTTTATTGACTTATAAACTCTTCACCGTTTGCAAGTGATATTTTGTGTGGTAAAGGAGGAAAAGTAGACTTTTGTCAAATTCTTGACAGAATTTGCTATATAAAAGATATAAAAAAAAGTTAAATGACTCTTTTGTATTGCTTTTCAGATTTAAGTTAGTCAAACTTGTTGAACGTTTGAAACAATTGCAAATTAAGTTTTTTTTTTGGTTAAAGCGACCTTAGAAGATTTAATTTTCAATCTTATGCATGGGAAATTTTCTGACAATCGCCCACACAAATGATTTGCCCATTGACTTGTTCAAATGACAGAAACGCATAATCCATTATAATTTAATTGTGTGTTCACAAGTGTCAACATTGAAGCTTCTCTGATTTTCCCATGGATGCGAAGCTTTCGAGGAATCACAACAATATAATAGTAATTGAGAAGGCTTGATTTACATAGCTGGTTTTGTATAATGACTATATATCTGGCCAATATTGTGCAATTGTTGTCTCTTCTGGGAGATCTTACAACAATTCTCCTTGATTTGAATGTTTCTCCTGTGCAATAATTCAGGGATAATGTAGTCAGTCCGGGATTTACGCTGTCGAAAGTGTACACGGTGAAGCCACTGTTGAAGAACAATAAGGATAAGCGAGGACTGGCCCTGGATGGACAATTGAAGCATGAGGACACCAACTTGGCCTCAAGTACACTGTAAGGCACAGTGAGAATTGCACGACTTTTCACAATATGGGATTGGTTATATGGATCTCTCACGGCTGCTTCAAATGGTTTATTCCTCCTTCTTAACATATGTTTCTGTTAACCCCAAAGGCGCACTCTTGGTGGTTGGTTTGGTGATGGTTTTTCTTATGTGTATAGGAGAAAATGCAAACTTTTATGTCAAGAGCAAGGAGACGTAACGAGGATGGTAGAAGAAAAAGAAGCCATCGCATATTCAATTCAATGTTTTTCACATTCTATTCCAACTCCGCCGCGCGATGGGTGGTTATTTTGAAAGAAGAAATCACAGTGAGAGACGCCACGGTGCAAGGCAATGCTGTGTGCTTCATATGGATGGAATGAAGCAATTAAAATTGATTTTCTATCCAGACTACAGTGCACACGACGACCCCAAACAAAGAGAGAGTGATTTTTCTTCCCAGACAATATATGGCGAAATAAGATTGGTGATATGAGTGAAAATTGGAAATTAAACATAATTTTCTTCTCTTCTCCATCGCTGCACATACACGCGTGATTGGACGTTAAAGAGAAGGATGTCAAGTGGCACCGGGCTTCACATTGTCCAAAGTTTTCCAATTGACACCACTTTTGGCCAATAACAAGGACAAATGGGGTTTGGCACTTGATGGACAACTTAAGCACGAGGACACTAATCTCGCCTCGAGTACTCTGTAAGTTTTTTTTTTTTTGTCTTCCCCTTGTCATTTTCATTTAAGAGAGATTTTTTCTGCAAAATGTGTGATTGTTTTACATGATAAATGTAAATTCGAATGTCCGGAAGGACAGAGCAAACAAATTTACCTAATTCTGCCACAGAGTTATTATTTGTCGAGAGAGAAGCAGAACTAAAAAAAATTACCGCGTTGAAAAATGACTCGCTTTTTGCTCGTTGATAAAAAAAACACACACACGCCGCACAACCCTTTTTTTCCTTCTAGATTCAGCGTCCGAACGAAAGGAGAGAAAATATTTGTCCAAATTCATTTTTATTCATTCCATAAATGGCTCAATCTGTGAACCTTATCGTGGGATGATCTTGTAGAGAGAAACGCGCTTCTTTTTTGCCTTTTGACTTGTTTTTGGGGTGGAATTGGAACACATTGAGCTGAAAGGGGTTGATTCGCTACCCAGAAGAGCCTTTTGAAGATATCTGATGGGGGAATTTGGGAGGGAAAGAGTGGTCAGTGATGATGAGGCCTTTTGTCTTTTCCCACCATTTCACATCAGTCAGAATCTCAACTTTCCAATTACACAACAAATGCTCATTGCATCCCTCAAGAGATTGTGAACCAGTTCAGCTTCAATTCGGATAAATGAAACGTGGGATGACGTGGGGAAAAAAAAGGGAATCGAATAAGAAATTCCTTTGACAAATAGAACAAAAATGATGCTCAAGAGAGATTTTGAGAGAAAATCGGGGAAATCCTTTCTCGCCAATTGAATAAGAATTCAATTTTGTCCCAATTACCGACTGTTTTTTTTGCTAACATGCTCTCTTTTTTCATCACTGAACTTCTTGGTACTGAATCCCACACACACTCACACAAACACACACACACACACTTGAATAGGTCTCGCACGTCTGTCGATGGACCGTATAGGTAATATTGATGAAATAGCTCACAATGTTTGCTTTAATCCCCTCTTTAATATGAACTAATTGGCATGCAATTGACTGCATTCACTAACTTTTGACACCTTATTTACCACAAACACGCCATGCGTAATGCAATGTAAATTAGTGCATGTTTATACTGAAGCCTGTGGAAAATGTGGCGTTTAGCAGAAGGAGAAAAGGAATATGGTGTTGATGGTGAAGTTACCAAAGGTATCATTTTGGTATTATTGCTGCCGGAAATATAAAATAAGCTTTAATTCAATGTTCCGGCGGTAGTTGAATTTGCTAGAGTAGACGGAAATGGCTTCTTATAAAAAATTATCCTCTTTAAGCTATGATTGTTGTGTACATTCATGTCAATCACTGTACATTATTTGAGCATTTTGTTGCACAAGTGAGAAAGAAGGTACAGGATAGAGTGACATGAGCAGCATACCTTTGGTAAACTTCTATGTAGTATGAAGGCAATTTGTCACACAAGTAGATGCAAAGAGCAAATATGTTGAAATATTAAAAATGTCGTAGAATAGTTGTGTAGATAAATTGTTACCTTTGGCACGCATCGTCATATTGAATTGATGCAAGGGCTCTGTTTGGCACGTGAAAGAGCCCAAACTATAGAGATCTTAGAGGGAATGTGAATAATTTAAGAGGTTGAAGAGGAGTAATTTGAGTAGCTCAGGCTCAAAGCGTAGTGATTTACTGGATGGTGGGGACAGAGAGTAAATTGAATGTAATGTGATGTGACATTTTCTTTAATATCCCACACCTCTCTCGGCATCTTTCCCACCTGCAGAATTGCTGATCCGACACAGAGGGAGAACCTGGGGATAATCGTGCAGTACAAGGTGAAGGTGAAGCTGTGCATAGGTGGACCCATACTGGGCGGGTGAGGCGTCAAGTGTGCACGCAGAGGCGATTGGAGGTGGATTGTGGGATGTGAATGTGTGTGTGTATTCTTTTCCAGGGATCTGGTGGCTGAATTACCGTTTATTCTTATGCATCCGAAGCCAGAGGAGGAGGACGTGAAGCCCATCTTGTCGAGTCGGTCGCCGAGCAAGGGCGACAGGGGTTCACAGAGTCAAGGAGCCACGAACAATTCTGAGAATGCCGACGCAGAAGTTCCAACAACCAACCTTATTCAATTGGACGGGTGAGTTGTCAGTCTTGCAGACTATTTATTTTCCTTAAATGCAATCTCTTTCTGAAGCAGGGATGAAGTTGGTGGTGCGGATGATGATATAATTTTTGAAGATTTTGCCAGACTACGACTTAAGGGCGCCGAAACGGAAGCCTAAGTTTCTTTTACTTCTTTTATAAAAGCTGTATTGATTGATTAAACTTGTAAAGTGAATATGCGACACATTGAAAATTCCTCGCTTGAGAGATCTTTTTTTTTTGTTTTCTTTAGATAAACCAATAGAATTGTAGCATTTTTGTAAATGTTGAAGAGGGTGGAAAATGAAAAAAAAAATTGAACGATACACAAACATAAATAGAAGAAGAAATATTATAATTAAATATCTCGTGTAAAGAGAGAAACCGAATTACAATATCATATATTTGAAGGAAAAAAAACAGTATCATGATGATGAAATAATAATTTAGTAAATAAATATTGCTACACTATTGCTATATTGCATAACATACGATTTTTAGGAAAAATGCGCCGCACAGAAATAGGAAAATAACACATGAAGGTGAAAAATTTTGCAAGTAAAATGATATATTTGAGAAGGAGAAAGAGGGGCGAAATGATGTGCATTTAAAGGGATTAAAGGCTGTTTGTCCGTTCGAATGCTTGTTATGCAGACTCACAAGAAAGAGAATCAAAGTTAGAATTTCAACCTGAATAACTTTTACTCTTTGGAGTAAAAAAAAAATCTAGACCAGAAGACGCTTTTCCACGTGTTTTTTTTCTTTTTAGAGTGACGCTGACTTTCTTTGGATTCCAGATAATTTTGCAAGATATTTCTGAACAGTAACGTGAGATATTTCAATAAAACAGTCTTTCTTTCCTTCTGTGCCATCAATTTCGAGTCGTATTTCTGAATTATATTTTTTTTCGTGAGAAAAGGGCGCAAATTGCAATTGTTTTCTGTGGCTTGTGCCAAAGAGGGTGAGTTTTAGGGTGGAACAGACGAAAAAGTTGAGATTTTACTTTGCACATTTCGCAAAAGCGTGTGGAAAAAAGGAGAGAATTTTGCAAGTGTAATAATGTTAATTGAAGACGCTACCAAAGTAAACAAAATAAAAGAAAATTGATAGAGAAACATTTTTTCTAATGAAAAAACAATATAAATGAAAAATATTGTCGAAGAGAGAAGATGGGAGAAAAGATGCCAGAAATATTAAAATAGATTAAAAAAGATGACGAGGAGAGAAATTCTTTGGGGAGATGAAGTAAATAAACATAGTGAAATTATACACATAATAATTCATAAGTGTTTCTAAAGAAGATTTTAATAAAAAATGGAAAATATTAATGTTTGTCCGCACAATATGTAAAGAGAGAGAAAAAAAAGAAGATAAATTCTCCAGTGATGGAAAATGAAGATGAATTAATGTTGTTTTCAGAATTAAAAAAAAAACATAGTGAAAGAAGAAAAAAACCTTTTTTGCAATATATTTCCCATGTGAAATATAAATGAAATCATATATTTATTTTATACGATGTTGCTTTCTTGCAATATTTATTCATACAATTAGATTTTTTAAACGCAAGTTTGCAATGATTTTCTTATGTCTACAATGCATTTAACACAATTTTCCTAATAGCTTTAAACACGTGGCATTTTCTCTTCTTTGAGTAACAAAAAAAAGAATAAGATTAAGGAGAAAAAATATTGAATTCAATAAATGCTGAAGAGAAAGAGAAACTAATAAAAAAAACATACTTTACATGTTATAATAAATGTATTTTAAATATTGCCTTCCACTCTAATTAAACTCACATAAAGCGAATTACATTTTTTGACGTTTTCGAAAAGAAAGAGAGAAAAAGAGTAAATACAATTCTGATGTTTTAATGTCAAGAGAGGAAAAAAAAATGATGATTTACAAGAAATCTGACTAAATTGGGAATTAACTAATCATGGATTTATGATTGTGAAATGAAACTGAGAAGGGGAAGAAGAGATTGTATTTTGTGACCTTTCGGAGAGAGTTCTAAAGAAAAAGAAGCATTTGAGAAAATGCAAGATTATTTTTAAACTTGGAAAAAAGAAACAAAATCTATAAATTTTGCCTATTGAAAAATCTATCGATGGAAAAATTGATGAATTTATTATATGTGAAGTGAAGTAAAAGAGGAAATTGACGTCTTTTTATACGCGACAATTAAGTGAGGAAAAAAAAACTACATGAAATGAAATTTATAGAAAATATAGAAGATGCTATATATATATGAAAATATTGAGAAGAATCATTCTAATTTATAAAATGAAAAGTATTAAATAATTGTACAAGAACTTCGACATTGAACAAACGACATAAATTTTTACGAATGTGAAGCAAAAAAGCATTTGTGAAATTGCGACGATTGAAAAATATCATTGGATATTGATAGAATAATTTACTTGTTGGATTTTTCTCAGTGTATTTATTTCCCAACACTTCCCTGTTCTGGTTTTTTTTTCTAATCCTGTTCATTAAAAGAGAAAGAAATGCCCCGCAGCACAGAGAAGAAATAATAATGGAAAACGGCGGTCAAGCCGGACATTTATAGACAGTGAACAGAGAATGTGGATTAAATAAAAGGAAAACCAATTTGTGTAATCCAAACAAAAAAAAAAGGAAGGAAGATAAATGAATATTTTAATCGAATTTACCTCAAGTTTTTCCCACCGAATTAATCCTTTTTCCCGCCCAAGAAGGCACTTTTTCGCTTTTTCTCTTTCTCTTCGTCGCTCATCTTCGCATTTCCCCCCCACTCGAGGCGTTGTTTATGGTAATCTAATTGAGTTTCTCATGAGTCGTGCGGGACGAAAGGAGAGCTCGGCACGAGATTTTGCTCAGAAAGACACTGTCGAGGTCATGTCAGGATCATCCTTGCGGTGGACAAAGTGAAATCTATGCGGTAAGAAATGGAAGAAAAAGTTCTTAATCTGCAGCGTCATTCTGCTGTGCGTCTTCAGCTGTCGTGAGGATTTTCCAGGATGTTAGCTAAGTTGCAGTTTCTTGTGGATAGCACAAGTCCTGGTGAACCACAATTCAACAGGTTCCTCTCTGAATCCACAACAAGTGAAAAGCATTTCTCTGCTGATTGCAGATTGTTTTGTACACAATCTGTGATGTGAAATGTCTTTTAGATCTGAAGAGCATACAAAATGCTCTCATTCTCACCGTGGAACGGCAAAATTTTATCTTCCTGCAATTAATCGTTATTTCTTTCCTTGAAGAACACTTTTACCCATAAAATTCGTAATATTCTCCAGAGCTTCTTAGCCTCTGTCACAGAACAACTTGCTTGTGATTTTTGATTACGGAATTCTTGAAATTTCCTAATATTCTCGTGAGGAACTGATTTGAGTCCTGCTCGCTTAATCTCTTCCTTGAGTCATCGAAGGCAGGAAGTGAGACACTCTTTTGTCGAATCCCCCATCAATGTCCCTATCATCATGCTCAAATAATTCTCCGTCACTCTTTGCTCCTCTTCATTCAAGAACGGTCAATGAGAGGAAAGTTGTGATATATTTTGCTCAATGTCCACTTTATTCCCTAATTTCTCTCTCTTCCTGTCTGACTGTGTGTCTCGTGTGTGTTTGGAAGCGTCTAGGCCACAATTGGGATGCCAGTGTTGGCGTACACCCACTCGGTGAAGTGCGTGCTGCGAGCGTAGCCGGAAGGATGTCCGCTGTCGCATCCGGCACCGGACACGAAGGACACCACGCCGATGTGCAGATCGCCGGATGCGCCGCCCTGGCGCAGGATGAGCGGGCCGCCGGAGTCACCGTTGCACGTGGACTGGGAGTTGAAGTCCCAGCCGCGGCCGCAGATGGTGGAGGCGATGATCACGTTGGTGCCGTAGACGCCGGCGCACTCGGCATTGCTGATGATGCGGATGTTGGTGAACATGAGCTGGTTGGAGATGGGGCCAGTGTTGGTGGTCCTGCCGAAGCCAGACACGTAGGCGCGGTCGCCGACCCAGAGCTGGGTGAACTCGCTGCGCCTGGGCAGGCGGATGACCTGCACGGCGGCGTTGATCTGCAGAGGCGTGTTGAGGCGCACGGCGCACACATCGTTGTTGAGGTTCGACGGGTTGTACTGGGCGTGCTCAATCACGAAGTTGGACACCTGTGTCTGCTGCTGAGACAGACGGTTGATGGAGCCCACGCCGATGTGGTACCAGGCGAAGCCGCGCGTGCAATGGGCAGCAGAGAAGACCCAGATGGGGGAGACCAGGGAGCCGCCGCAGAAGCCGCCGGTGCTGTTGTTGTTGGTGGAGAAGACGGTGGTCTGGTGGGGGAACTGGTTGGTCGCGGCGGGCTGGCCGTTCACAATCCTCTCGCCAATCCACGAATCCTCGGGGAAGACGGGCACCTGGTAGGGCTGCAAAGAGAGGAACACTCGTCATTCGGGATTCACAGGCACTTAATCCAGGACGTCTTGGGCTAACTTACAGTGGCCGTGTCGTCGGCAAAGACGGCGACGGCGCAAACCAAGAGAACAAACACTGCCTTCATCGTGATAGATTTCCTACAGCGATACTGAACAATTCTCAGCAGCGCAAGGCTCATTTATAGAGCCGCTCGGCAAATCTCCACTGGCCTCAAGATTGCTGGACGCTATCAGGTGAGATTTTCCGCCTGATTTATTGCCAGGCTGAAGACTCTGAAGATGGGAAAAACCAGCAGAATGGAGGAGAATCCAAGTCTCCATCCAATACGCGCTCCTCAGTCTGTTATCAGTGGTGGGATTTTCATCAATGGACGCTTCGTAATTGTTTTATGGCTAGACATTTCCAGACAATCGATCATATGGTGAAGAAATAATCTCTGCCACAATTACGCGTGAAAGAGCCTCGCAAGAGGAGGAAAAAAAAGTCCCAAGGAAAACCCATTGAAAAGTTTCGATTGCTGATTGCAATTCTTGGAATCACCCAGAGATGACGAAGGGAGTTTCTGTGTTTTTAGGTAAAATCTTTCCGGTTCACTTTTGAGACAATGTGTTTAGCTGAATATGTTGTACTACTTCCACTCAAGAATGTATCAGCGGTTTGTGATGGTGATAAGATAATCGCAATTAATATCGCTTATCAATCTCATATGAGCTTTCTTTAGAACCTGAGAAATACTGTCTTGTAATCTGTTATCAATTACTTATTGATTTACTGAGAATGAATAAATGTCATGTGTGTCAAAACAATTCGGACAAACACTAATTACTCTCATTTATGCATAACATACTTTTATCTGCAAGCTTTCACAAATAAATGAAAAGGGTGTTAAAAAAATATCCTTGAACTGTCGCCTTGTTATTTTAAAACTTTGAAACACAAAGGAAACATCCGAGAAACGTTTCAGTTCACTCCAAATGGTGAGTATGTATATTCACCACCAACTGACAGGAAGACAAATGTCGACATTTGTAGCGAAGAGGAACACAAGGTAAGAAAATAGTGCCTGTTTTTGCTCAAATTTCCCTAGTTTTGAGCCCTGATGTTATGAAGAATACTGCAGATGTGTGCCTAATGTCTTCCCTGAGCTGTTTATTGTGTATTTTCTCCCGTCTATTGCGTGCAAGTGCGTGAATTTGCATAACAACACATTGGCATATTCCGGGGAATCACCGCAAAGTGCGATGACATGTCAATCCCTTTAGCCGGCGTCTATCAGCCAATCATAATCGTCCACAGCATAAGAAATGCAGTGAAATGTTGTGAAATATGTTCAGTAGGTTTTGGACCATTTCACAGTGCAAGTGTGATTTTTGTTAGAGCATTTCCAGAGAACTGAAAGTATGTATAATTTTTTAATTCTGACACGTTTTCCGTGGTAAACGCAAGTTTAATGACTTTTGTGTTTGCATAACAATTCTATTGAGTTGATTTAGAGAAGTTTTGTATGAAAATCGTGTAGATTCTGAACGATACAAAAAGCAAAATTCACCAAAACAAATCTCAATGGGAAATTGAATTGCGCTGATATTTCCTGTAACAGACATCAGCAGTGATAAGGAATTTCTTGCCTCGTCTCTTGCTTGAAAGTCAGTCTTCTCGAAGATTCTACACTGTATGAATGATAAGAAGTTGTGATTGTGCAAATTTTTAATGCCCAAAGAAGAATTTCACCCCTGAAAGGTGATTAGATTTGGAGCAAGTGAATTACTTCTTCTCTTTTTACAGCTTCAAGACTTTTTGGCTGCTGAAATTCATATCAAATAGTATTATTTAATAGCAGCTGCCAATAAAAGTTAGAAATATTCTAATGTTGCATCAGCCATTCATAACTATTATTGAATGAAAAATGAAAACTAACATCTTTCATATCGCTACAAAAGTCTCGATTCTTAATAGTATAATTAAATAATATTTGAGTCCATTCCTTATTGTATTAGTAATAATCTTATCTGCATGTGATGACCAGAATTCTTCCAATTATTTGCTTTTTTGCAGAAAGAGCAATAACTATGGAACAACAGGCAGAGACGGAGACCAAGTTGACTCCACGCCCTTATCAGGATCAATTGATAAGCGTGTGCATGGAGAAGAATACAATTATTTATCTCCCGACGGGCGCGGGCAAGACGTTCATCCCGCTGATGGTGTTCACGCGGAAGTCCAAGGACTTTCATCGCTCTATGGCCAATGGCGGCAAGCGTGGTGTCTTCCTGGCCAGCACGAAGGTGCTGGCGCGGCAGCAGAAGGAGTACTTTGAGCAGAACACGCAGTTCAAGGTGGCTGTGTTCACGGGCGACATGAACGTCGATGTGTGGGGACAGCAGCGCTGGCGCAACGAGTTCGAGAACAATAACATTGTTGTGGCCACTTATCAGATTGTCCTTGACGTGATACGCCATGGATTCCTCAAGCTAGAGAACATAAATGTGATTGTGTTCGATGAATGTCACAATGCGCAGGGCGAGCATCCCATCGTGGAGCTCATGAAGCAATTCGTGGACGTGCCTGTGCACAAGCAGCCACGCGTGATTGGACTCACGGGAATGTTGTTGCCGAGCAGTCGCGTGGAGACGTTGAGCACGGATCTGGAGGCGCTCGAGAAGTGCATGAGATCAACAGTCGCCACTGTTGCGACCATTGAAGACTATGAGAATGTTTTGGTGTTCGCGACGAATCCAGTGGAACAGATGGTCACGTATTTTATACAGAGTCCTGATGATGACAAATTGAGTCGAATTGAGTGCCTTGTGAATAAGTTTTGTACAGAAATTGATCACTTTAAGCTGGATCATGAGGTGAAGAAAATGAGCGAGATGGATGGCGAGAAGCAGTCCACGAAGAAGAAATTGAAGCAACTCTGGCAGGATTTCAATTATCAAATGAAAGATCTTGGACTTTATGGAGCATCGCTGGCGATTCTGGGTTTGATTGTGGAGTTTGATCTTAAGAAACGGTCCTCAGTAACGCACAGCAAGAGATCACTGTATCGCGCTTCAATAAAAAGTGAGTTTCTGTAAGCAATTATGACTCGAATGAAAGAGAGAGAGAGAGAGAGAGAAATAAGACGAAAAAAACATTCATGGATTGAAGAAATGTCAGAAACTTTAATTTGTGACTCACAGAAAGCTTGAAGAAGGACTCAAAATCATGAAGATTCTGATTGAATTTCAAGAGACTTTTCATAAGAAACTCAAGGAAGATAGATTTTGTGATTAATTCCTGTAATTTTTTGCAGATGCTGAGTTAGTTCGTCACATTCTGGTGCAAATGATGGGCGAACAGGATTGTCCAACTCATGAGTTCATCATGCGACATGCGTCGGACAAACTCAAGACGCTGCTGCAGAGTATTCAGAGTATTTTATGTAATGCTTCATCCGAACAGAAACTCTGTGGTCTGGTTTTTGTTCAGCGACGTTCATCGGCAAAGTGCATTTTTCACATTCTGAGGAATTATGCAGAATCCAAGGAAGATTTTGCGATTGCGCCGGACTTTCTTGTGGGTGACAATTCCTTCATGCAAGCGGAACTTGAGGTGTTGCTGCAGAACAATTGGGATCGTCAGGTATTGAAGAAGTTCAAGAAGAACGAAGTGAATCTAATCGTATCGACGGCTGTCCTGGAAGAGGGTGTGGACTTGCGGAATTGCAACTTTGTCATCAACTATGATATGCCTCACACGTTCCGTGCGTATGTACAGCGCAAGGGTCGTGCACGATCTGCATCCAGCATTCATCTACTGATGATGGAGCAGTCGGAGAAGCCAAAATTGCTTGGACAGATCAACAAGTACCATATAATAGATGCGGCAATGAAGAGGTTGCTGATTGGCAAGTGTGTGGACAGAGATTTGCCATCTGCTGAAGAGATTGACAATGATATGCGAGGGGATCTGAAGGTGTTTACGACACCAAAGGGGGCCAAATTGACGGATACGTCAGCGATTGCACTGTTGAATCGCTACTGTACCACACTGCCGCAGGACGGTTTCACCGTGGCAGCGCCAGATTTGCAGTGTGAGGAACTAATGATCAAAGGCGTGAAAAAGTATCGCATTTCGCTCACATTGCCGAGTCAATCACCAGTCAAGGATGAAATTTATAGTAATGTTCTGATGTCCAAGAAGCATGCAAAGAGATCCGTGGCTTTCAAGGCGTGCATTGCATTGTATGAGAAAGGAGAACTAGGTGAGAATCTCTTGCCCATCAGTCCAACCATGATTCTAACGAATCTCCAGAGTGTCTACTTTCCGCACTGGCAGAAGTACAAGACAGGTGAATGAATGCGTATAGAAAGACACTGAAGTCCTAATATGCTAACATATGTTGTTGTTTCTCCTCAAGGTAACAACAAAGAGGATGGCACGAAGAAGAAGAAGCGCTACTGCGATATCAACTATCCGGTGCAATTGAGCAAGTGTCAGCCAGAGGAAGGAAAGTCGTGCTTCCTCTACATCATCCACACGGTGTCTGATCTGAATGAGAAAAGTGGCTCAAAAGTCGACACGAATGTCGCTGTCTTCAACAAGCTCTTCAGACAGGATCGCAATTATGCCATTCTCACCACGAAGCCTTTGCCACCTTTGGCTGCCATGAATTTCTTCCTCACTGATGGACGTGTAATGGTGAGTATTTTTTCTGTGTTTTATTGAAGAGAGAAATTTATCATGACTTCAAACAATACATTTACTTTCCATTAACACCTTCTTTTATGGTGCGAAAAAATGCCAATTTATCACGAAGATTGATTCAATTGACATTGAAATGTCGTGTGAAAAATGCTGCTTTATTACATTTAATTCATTGCATTTTTTGTATAAAGTAAGTAATGAAATTATCAAACTATACAAAGAGCTAAGAAATCTATGAATCTATTACTTGACATTTTGACAATGATATATTAAGGGTGAAGTTGTGCTTTGAGCATATAGTGATTTTCCATGAACAAGGGGCAAATCACAAGGTGATTTTTGGAGGAAACTTAATGTTCCCAATCAAATAATCAATTATTTCAGTAAAATATTGAAAAAATGATTATTTTCTCAACTAAAATTGAAGAAAAAATCTTATTTTTAATTAAAAAAAATTAGATTAGAAATTGAATTTAATAATTTAATTAATAATTTAATTTATTCTATTAGAAATGTAATAAAAAAAATTATTATCCTGATTGAAATCACAAAAAAAAACAAAATAACCAAATTCTGAATAAAATAGTCAAAAAATAATATTTTCTCAAATAAAATTGTAAAAAATTATTATTTCCCAAAAAAAAATTACAAAAAATCAAAATAACCAAATTTTGAAGAAAAAAAAAATCAAAAAATGAATGTTGTCAAAAATTAAAATTGTAAAATAATTAAATATTGAATAAAATAATAAAAAATATATATATATTTCCCAAAGTAAAATTGTAAAAAAATCAAAAATAAAATATCAAAAAAAAATTATTATTTTCCAAAGTAAAATAACAAATAAAAATCAAAATAATCAAATTCTGAACTAAATATTTAAAAAAAAAAATTTTTTCTCAAGTAAAATAGAAAAAAAATCAAAATTTGAATCAAAATCACAAATAATTTAAAAAAAATCAAATTTTGGAAAAAAAGTTCAGAAAATAAGAATCAAAAAATCATCCTAATTAGTATAAAATAAACACTTTTTAATTAAATATTCAAAAAATAATCAAATTTTAATCAAATATTCAGAAAATAATCAAAAAATTATCAAAATTTTGTACGAAATAATCAAAATTTGAATTAAAATCACAAATAATCGAAAAAAGATTGAATAATCACAAAGTTAATGATCTCAACTTGCGGAGTGATTTTCCCCTTGTCCATGAAATTCCCCTTGTTTATTGTTTTCCACTCTCTTTTTTTTCCAGGTGAAAATCGATCAGAGACCCGTGGAGAATGTCGTGCTGACTGAAGAGGATTTGAATTGTCTGAGGAAATTTCATATTGTCGTCTTTCGCGATGTTCTCAATACAATGAAAACGAAGACATTCCTTGCGATGGACTTCACGAACACCAATAATTCCATTCTCATTGTGCCGATGATTGGTCGTCGCATTGATATGGATCTCGTGAAGAAATTCCAAGAGATGCCCGCTGTGAAGAAGACGACGGAGAATGAGCGTCAGCAACAGAGATTTGAGCCGAAAGATTGGTTACACTCTGTTATCAGTCCGTGGTATCGAAGTGATGGCAATCAGCGCTATGTGGTGACGAAAGTGGAGAAGCATTTGACGCCAGAAAGTGCCTTTCCGAACACCATGAAAGCGTCCACTTATGCTGCATATTATGAGAATGAGTATGACTTGTATGTGGTTAATGACCAACAATTCTTGATTGAAGTCAAAGGCATCACTAATGATTTGATGCTGCTGAATCCGGGCATGAGTGACAGGGGAAGTAAGAAGCAAGTGAAGCGATCTATGAAGGAGATTCTTGTGCCGGAATTGTGTCATAACTTTGGATTTCCCGCGTCAATGTGGCTCAAGGCGCTGGTGCTGCCGAATGTGCTGTACAGAATGCGCTTTATGCTGCACGCTGACAATATCAGAAAGACAATTGATCGGTATTTGGGTGTGGAGAGTGCCACAGAGTTGGATGCTTTATTTGTGGATGAGCATAAGTTGAAGGTGCCTAAAGAAACGCCAACCAGTCGATCAATCTTCGGTCCAGTTGACGATGTTGTGGTGCAGGTGGAGAATAAAGCCGGTGACACTCTGGCAGACATACTGGACAACATCTTCACGGATCACAGACCACCAATGGATGTGCATCGCAACTGGGATAAGCTTCATCAGGTCGATCTGGAGTACTATTTCTACTTCATGTCGTTGAATGATGAGTATGAGAGGGCAAATACCAGGGGACGCACCATGGCGGCTCTTCAGGGTGTCAGCAGTGGAATGGAACAATTCGCCATCTGTGCCACACCATATGAGGAGGCCTTCAACATTGCCCTGCTGAAGATGGAGCACAGTGGGACCGTGGGACCGCAGCAGAGGGACGTTCTATGTGCCATCACGGCGTCCGTAGCGCAGGAAGTGTTTGATATGGAGAGATATGAAGTACTCGGTGATGCTTTCCTCAAGTTCACCACGAGTCTCTACTTGCTGCAGAAGCACACGGAGTGGCACGAGGGCTATCTGACAACGTGCAAGGGTCAGATTGTGGGCAATCGCAATCTGTACTACTGCGGCGCTGACTGTGGCATAGCGGGCGTGATCAATGTGTCACCGTTCAGTGTGAGTGACTTCATTGTGCCACACATGAATGTGCCACAAGAGATTGTGCAGACGGTGGAGGAGTTGCAAATCACACCGAATGCGATCTTCAAGGTTCTGTGCTCTGACTGGGAAGTGATGAATGGAAGGATGGATTTGGCTAATCTTGGCACACTTCTGGAGACGTTCAGTCGTGAACAGAAGGCCATCGCGGATGAAGATTATTCCACAAAAGTTTTCCTTGGCAAGCATCGCATCAGCGATAAGACAGTGTCAGATGCCATTGAAGCCATTCTAGGTGTTTGGGTGGCAACAATTGGCATTCAGAAGTCCTTCAAGCTGCTCAATTTCTTCCACATTCTACCGAGGGATTTGGATATGGAGAATTTGCTGCGCAATCAGCAAATTGAGCCAAAATTGTCACCAAACATCACAGCTGAAGACATTGATAGTCATCTGATAAATCCGCATGATTTCCAGCAACGCCTGGGATATCAGTTCAGAGATCGTGCCTATCTTCTACAGGCGCTTACGCATCCTTCCTATCCAGCAAATCGCGCCACAGGATGCTATCAGAAGTTGGAATTTCTGGGCGATGCAGTGCTGGACATTATCATAACGTCGTACATCTTTGAGAAGTGTCGCGATTTGGATCCAGGAAAGATGACAGACTTGAGATCTGCTCTGGTGAATAACATCACATTGGCGTGCGTGTGTGTGCGTAATAACTTCCATTTGCACATGCTGCATCAGAGTCCAGCGCTTCAGGAGAAGGCCAAAGAGTTTGCTGAGTAAGTGAATGAAGTAGTCTAGAAATAAAATAATGTTTTGTTACACAAAAATGGGAGGAAAAGTCGGTGAAAAGCATAGACTTGGAACTAAAAACTTAAATTTTTCAGTTCATCTGTCTGGTTTTGACAATGCTTCTCAATGTATTTTTGTCACAATGTGTGTTCTTCTTCCCTTTCTGCAGATATCAGAGACTGAATCAGTACAAGGTGACGGAGCACGTGTTGCGCATCAAAGAGGAGGACGGAACGATTATGGCAGACTCGGTGGATGTTCCCAAGACATTGGGTGACATTGTGGAAGCGCTGCTCGGCGCTGTGTTTCTGGACTCTGGCAATGACATGCAGGCTGTCTGGCGTGTTATTGTGCATCTTATGGGCCAGGAGATCCTTCAGTTTGCCGCCAATGTGCCAATCAATGCCGTGCGCAAGCTGTACGAGTGGTCAGGAGCTGCTCCACAGTTCAGTGAGCCTTCGGTGAATCCGGAGAAGGACACAATTTCGGTTTCGGTGAAATTTGTGTGTGGACAAAAGTGGATGGAGGCTCATGGTTTTGGTGTTAATCGGAAGAATGCCAAGAGAGCAGCGGCAAATGCTGCCTTGGAGCAGTTGGAGAAAAATCAGAGGAACGGTTAAATCCCAACGTTTGTTCTTATGATTCACAGATCTTTGCGCAACCAATCGAATTGCAGCATCCCAAAATTGTTATGTATGAAATGATATTGTCTAGAAATTGTAATGTAGTTCCCTTTTTAATTGCATTTATGTTACTTCAATAATTATCTCGTAATCTGTTATGGAAACACTTGATGGAACTGCCAAACATTGCATTAAGACGTTGTCCTTTTCCTGGGAACTTCCCGTGTTTTTCTCCTTATCTCTTAATCTATTATATTAGTTTATGTGGTATTAGAACACAATAAAATTCACAAAAGCATCACGAAATTTCGATAAAAACATTTTATAGATTATATAAATTTTATAACTATATATGTTTTTTTTTAAATAAAATATATTGCGTCCTTAAAAGAATTTTGATGGTTTTTACTTTCATTAAACGTTTTCTAGAAAAGTCACAAAAGCATGAAAATTATTATTTTTTAGTTAAATTTCAGTAAATTTGTCTCACGCACAAAGAGCCAACAGTGGTTGCAATTTCACTGGCTGGAACTGTTGCCGAAGGTGAGCTGAAGAGTGGGAATAATCCATTTCTTTTCGGGGTCTTTCAGTTCCTCACCGCTTGCCAAAACAGTCGCACGATCGTGTCAATCTCAGTGAAGGTTTTTGGCTTGTGTGAACATGAAGAAGTGTTTTGCAGTGATTCCATGTCTTACATCTCTCTTCGCCTTGGCGAATAGTCAATCCTCAGACGGATCTTTCAGGCTCATGCTGATGCACAACAATGATATTCACGGGCGATTTGAGCAGTTCGACGCTGGAGGTATTTCGTGTCGCGAGCCGGGAAAAGAAACCTGTTTCGGAGGAATTCCAAGGATGTTGCACATGTAATTTGCTCATCTGTTCGCCAATTAGGCTCTCCTGTGATTCTCACGCATTTTTACTCTCTTTGAAGACTCCGCGAAGCCAGAAATCACTCAAATGAACCCCTTTTGTTCCTCAACGCGGGAGATTCCTTCACTGGTACTCCGTTGTTCACCATCACCAAGGAGAACATCACGGCTCACGTGCTGAACATTCTGCAGCCAGACGCAGTGACTCTGGGCAATCACGAATTTGGCTATGGTATCGACGTCCTCTCGGCGTTCCTGCGGCAATTGCGCACACCCGTCGTGGTGACGAATCTCAATCTGACCAGTTCACCCACGCTTCGTCGTCACATTAAATCATCCGTCGTTCTGGACGTGTCTGGCCATCGAGTGGCCATTGTGGGCTACGTCATTCCCAGCGCGAGGGAACAATTGCGAACTGACGAGGTGATCTTCGTGGACGAAGTCGATGCTGTATCACGAGAAGTGCGGAGACTCCGCAATGCTGGCATCCGCATCATCATCGCTCTGGGACACTCAGGTAAATCGAATGCGTGAAATATTCCATAATAATTGCTTCTTTTCAGTTGTACAGATTCTAGCCAATTATCTCCCCCTTGCTAGAGCTTTTGAAAAAAGATCTTTGCGCAGTGGCAAAGAATGTAATATCTTAACTATATTTATGCTAATTTATGCTGTAACAGGATTGGAGAGAGATCTCGAGGTGGCGAAGAAATGCCCAGGAATCTCTGTCATTGTCGGTGGACATTCTCACAGTCTCCTGCACACGGGCGATGTGGAGTCACTGGACAGCGTCTCTGGGGCGTATCCTCAAGTCGTGAGGGCAGAAGACGGTTCCGTCACTCTCGTGGTGCAAGCGGGAAAGTATGGCAAATACATGGGGCGTCTTGAGTTGACTTTCGACACTGAAGAGCGCCTTCAGGCGTGGCGAGGCAATTCTGTGCTGTTGACTGAGGAATTCCCTCAAGAAACTGACGCTCTGGAGCTCTTGGCGCCCTTCGGTGAGACACTGAGCAGACTGGAAGCCAAAACGGTGGGCAACACTCTCGTTCACCTCGATGGGCAGTACAAGACGTGCAGATTCCGTGAATGCAACATGGGAAATCTCATTGCAGACGCCATATTCGATGCCTATCTTAGCTCACAGATGAGCACAGCGGCAGCGTGGTCAGACGCATCGGGAGTTCTTCTGCTCAGTGGCAGCATTAGGAATTCAGTGGGAAAGAAGATCATCACATTGGCTGATCTCAAAGCTGTTCTGCCGTATGAGAACACCTTTGTGCTCGTCAATGTGTCCGGAAGCACGCTCAAGGATGTCTTGGAGCACTCTGTGGCAAAGTACAGCATCACTCGGGGACTGGGACGTTTTCTGCAAATGTCTGGTGTGCAAGTGAAGTACAATTTAACCAACAATCCTGCCTCCAGAGTCTCTTCTGCTGAGATTCTCTGCACCAATTGCAGAGTTCCCACTTTCGAAGCCGTTGATCCACTGAAATGGTATCGCATAATTGTGTCGACCTTCATGAAGGAAGGTGGAGATGGTTTTACTCACTTTAAGGTACTGTTTCTCTTAGTAGAATTGTGTGAAATGTGCAAATGGCTGATTCTAGCTCTCTTTCAGGACTCAACAAGTGAACACTTGCCTTTTGGCGAAATTGAGGCTGTGCAGACGTTTATTGAGAAGAGAAGTCCTATTTATCCAAGAATAGAGGGGCGAATTGTGCTGTTTAACTAAGTATTTGCCATCATATACAGTCGATACTGAAGAATGTACACTTTATTCCTCAGATTGCATACAAAATACAGGAGCTAGAGAAGTTACTGCATGTCTATAGAGATCTTATCGGCGGATCGTCATTGGATTTGATATGAGGAAAGGTTGCTAGAGAGCCGTTCTCTCATCGTACACGACAATTCCTTCGCGCTCGAGAGGCAAAACTGACAAATTCTGCGATCGCGAGCGACACAAAGCAATAATTGCCGCCTCGTCATTTCGCATTCTATTTCGTCGCTTCTTGCTGAAGTTCACCTGAAAAAATGCAGTGAAGAGCGACAATTTAGCACGATTTGTAAATGCCATTCAATTGTCGTCGAATTTTAAGGTTTATGATATTAATTGTATCAATAAATGGAATATTTTCAGTCACAAGCTTTATGTGCTATGATTGTGACGAAAATTAGGCAAAAGCTTAGACTTTTCCCGAATTAAAGATAACATTATTATGAGTGATTGGATTTATGCTTCACTTCACTCACTTTTGCGTACAGTTCCTCGAGATCGTCTGTGGTGGAAACTGGCCTCTGCTTTGCGCCTTTTCCCCACGATGGAAGCGATCTGGTCCTGTACGAAGACTCCTCGGACTCGCTGAGAACTGCCGGAAGACGGAAGAATAAGAAAAGAACGAAGTAGAGCAGCTTTCAACTCACCAGAACTGGAGGCGTACAGCGGATTAATTGCCCACATGGATTTGTGAGTGTCTGGAATTGCGCTCTGCCCTGGTACGAGATTGCAGAAGGTTGTGGGCTGTTCACGAACATTCTGGGGCTTCTGAATGGACTGCTTCGCCACAGGGATTGTCATCGGTGGTCCTGAGACAGAGTATTGAGCTGGAACTCCCGTCCAAGATTGAGGATTGTGAGCCACTGTGCACAAGCAAGAAGAGAAGAGGAACATTAGCAAAGTAGAACTCATCTTTTCGCGATGTCACACTTACTAATAACTCCTCTTCCGGTGTCTGGAGTAAGCGCGAGAGGTGTGAGATTGATTAATGGCTTTGTTTGTGGTTGTTTCGCATTGGGAATTGTACCTGATGTGGCTGAGGAGCTCGTGACGGCGGCACCGCAGCGCGATGGACTGAGGAACTTGCGGCTGCGCGGCAGAAGCCAGCAGCAGAAGAAGAGCGTGGCCAGAACCAGCACTCCGACCACAGTGCAGCCAATCACGACGCCCCACACGACGGCCGGTAAACCCCACACTGTCCGCTGCGGACCCGCCTCAACGGGCGGCCACATGCGCGCCGTGAGCGTCACGGATTGCTGATAAATGCCCTGCGATGGAAGCCGAACCGAGACATCTTCCGGGCCTAAGAAAAAAAAACACAAAAAAGATGTTCATTGATCATTTATAGATCTGCCGGGTTTCATCTCTGATTGACTCAAATCTCAACAATTCAAAGAGTTTAACCTATTTTTGTGCAAACAACAAGTGAAAATCATTTTTCTACAATTTATATAGAATTCTGGCAATGTTTTTCAGTATTCAAGTCATTTTGTTTGAAATTTTCTTATGATTTCACAATGTATAATACAAGAAATGGATTCAAAGGCTCTAAATGACATCATAATTGACCTACTTATATATATAGTTATTATTGATAAAGAAAGCTTCATTTTCACTGCTTCTCAAGATTCATTGACGAAAGACACATATTTACCCCTTGTAATCCGCCTTTTCTATTTGCCAAAATTCTCCAATTAACCATCTATTTATTACCCTTTTCTGAGGTGGGGTTCTTTTTCCAGCAACGACCCAAAATTCCCGTCCGGGGATGAACTTTAAAGTGAGCCACTGACTTGGAAAGAAGCATCACAACATGTAAGGTAATTAGAGGCAATTAATTGGCTGATGAAATGCTACGGCGCATGTGAATGAAAGTGAGATTTTCACTTTTTCAAAAGCCACTTCAGCCCCGACTTTTCACACACTGCACAGTCCGGAGAATGAGTGTGTGGAGGCTTTGCGCCCGGAAATGGCACTGGAGAGTTCGTCTGAAGCGACGTGAGGTGATTTCCGAGTGATAATTCAATTTTACGAGCTCTCGAAAATCAAATCGCTCGGACATGGGGAATCAATCAAAATTAATATTCATTCTGCGACCTCTGGAAATTCACTCTTCTTTTTCCAAGGAGAGGCGCACATGTAAAATTGTTGTGAATCCTCCGAAAAATTCTCCCCTCGTGAGCCGCGACAGAGCATCGAGATCTCGACTCATGGAGAGGAGGAATTGAAAGGCTACTTAATCGATGGTTTGTCAATTACACATCTGGTGGGCTTCTTCGCGTGATGGATTCGCCCCTGGAACGAGTTTCGATGTTAATCGACTTAGTGCGGTTAACCATGCCCAATAAATCATCCCTCTCGGACCGCTTGCTGTGCGATTGCACATCATCGAGTGGGTGGTCCGGCGCCACCGCATACCTGGATACACGACGAAGCCCTCGGTGCTGGTCTCATTGAGCTGCTCCTCGATGAAATTCACACCCTCCAGCAGCAAATCGGGGAGATTTTCCACCGAACTCTTTTCTGCCGCTTCTCTCGGCGCCAGATTTGCCACCCTTATTTGCACACACGGGAAAATATCTTACACTTCACCGCCGAAATCATCTCGCCGACCATCAGAGTCACTTCGCAAGTCAATATGTATATCCGTTTCTCTCACCCTCAGCTTTCTTATCACCTCAAGTGAACTCTGACTGCACAATTACAGCACGATTGGAAGAAACTTTTCGCTCACTTCAATGGAATTCCTTCTCGATTCCCGTTTACGTTTGCTCTAATCGCGAAGTGATTGCAAAAGCACTGTCGAACTGAAAATGGCAAATCTTATTGTGGTGCTGCGACGAAAGTTTATTGGATGCAGAGCCAGATAACGGAAGAAACCAGATTGTTATGTCAAAGATATCAAACTCTGATCACACAGAGAAGAATAATAATGTGAAAACGAGATGAAATTTGGTAAAAATGGCACGAAGAGGTAAACATAAAAAGCTTCACAATTTGGAGAAGAAGAATTTTTGTGGAAATTCCCTCAAATTCATATTGTGCTTCTACTCCGCCCACTTCCTTGCTCCGCCCACCCTTGACTTGATGCATGACTTAACCCACTTTATCACCAAATATTTCTGGCCAAATTGATTAAACTGTGTATTTTTGATGTTTATTCTGTATGAAAAAAGAAAGATAATTGAAATATATAATTTCACCCCACCAATTAGCAAAACAGAACAGCTGCAAATAAAATAGAATCATATCTCTTTTCTCGAAGTTATCTCTTAAGCCTCTTTAGCCCCGTAAGAGTTGTAATTGTTGCAAAATTCCCTATTTTCAGTATTAAACATCAGACAAAGAGATCATTTCATAAGCTCCGCCCACTCAAAAGCCCAGCCTCCTTTTGCCGAATTGTGAAGAGCCGTGATTTTCGGCGATCCTGATGCAACACACTTCTGCTTTTTGCACCTTTCGTCGCGCTATCACAGCGATGTGTAAATGCAAAGCAGCGACACGAAGTGGGCGGAAGAACATCCAATAAGCTTATAGTTGCAAATGAGGAAGTGATTAGGTCTTGTACGACAATCCGACGACTCGTTTGTCCCTCCATCAAGAGCCGCGTATTGTATTGCATTTGCACTTTAAATACCGCCCTCACCTTTTGATCTCGTCAGCGCCGGTCATTTGTATGGTAAGTTTTGCGAGGGGTTTTGGCTTTGCTAAAAATTGTATCTCTCTATTATATTTTTCCACAGAACATGCATTGTCAGTTGGAGTGACAGTGTCCCGAGAGGGAATAGAATTCACGATTAGAGCACTTTTCCATGTGAATATACGATGATAAAATATTATTTTTGGCCACGGCGAAATGTGAAGATATCTGACAAAGTGAGAATTGCATGATGAATTCAAAAATAACTTTGTCGCAGCAAAAAGAAAGAAGGAAAAAGGATGTGTAATTTACTCAAAACACAAGCACAGAATGCATCTCACATGTCGTGTTTTGTGCTGTGAAGGAGAGCGTAATTGAATTTTCGTCTTCAGTGCAGAGCTTTTAAGGCTCTAATTAATATCACATCTCACTAATCACATTGGCAGACGGGTTAAAATATCACAATTGACTCTTGTCTCTCTTAACGCCTTCTCTTGTTCGGCTACAAGTTAATCTCTGGTAATATTCTAGCTGTCTTTACGTGCACTCACGCCAGCATTTTGCCGCAGACTGAGGAATTGCAGGGAAAAGTCCCGAAAGTCCGTCATCACGTGCTTCACTAGTTATGCGCGCGCTTTCTTCCACCTTCTTTCCCATCTTTATTTGTATTGACTCTCTTATCATTATGCTCAGTGTCTGAAGCTTTATCACAGATACTTCTGCATGATTTTTTTATGAGGCCTTTTGTGATTTCACCATTGCAATACCGAGTGAAAAGACTTGGACATCAAAAGGAGTTTGTTTGCTCAACACCAATCAACAGATTCTTTTGTATATCTCATTTATATATATGTACTATCTTTTTACATTGCTCTTGGTGGGAATATACTAACTTGTTTCGGGGGGAAAAATTGAAGATTGCACCCATTGAAACATCAAGCACTGAAGGGTTAATGAGCATGCGTCTTGGATAAAATGCAATTTAGCAATTCTTTCACAAACCATATTCTCTGCAAATTCCTTCAAATTTGCTCTAAAATGTTTAAAATTAAATTGCACTTACATTAATGAAATCCTGATGAGCCAGTAAATATCCGGAAGACGAAATCCAGTCTTAACAACAATTCCTTGTAAAATTGATTACAATTTTGCCATTGAGCTAAAGTTTTAACACAAATATTCAAGTTGAATCACAAACAATCACATTGCATTACACAATTGTAGCTAATAAGCTAGAAAAAATTCACTTCAAAATGGTTTTTTAGGCCGAAAAATTGTGCAAGCAAATTCTACTCAATGAAAGAAAATCGATGTGACACTGGCAGGACATCTAGCGGGATCCGTGGGAAAGCCAAATAAATTTCCCGAGAATTTCCTTTTCGGCAAATCCTTCGCGCGAATGCCAACAATTTGAAATCAACCTTCAGAGAAAATTCAGCACTTGCAGAAGAAATTCAAGAAATTTTAGGAAAACATCCAATTGACGCATAACAATTACTGTTTTTTTTTTTATTAAATTAATAAAAAATATCTTGTAATACAATAATATAGATGAATTAAGGATAACAAGAATTTCTCATTTAGATTCATCCATCAGTTTTTCTTCTTCCTCAAATGTTCAAACCGTATTCAATTCTCTTCTCTGTTCATGCAAAATAATCATTCTTTCTCCTTTTCCTTCAAAATAAATTATTCTAAATATAATGTTCTTCATAATTTGTCTTATTCTATGTTTTTTTTTTTCTTTAACATTAATAAGTTGTCTAATTTTTTTTTCTCTCTTTTCTCTTATAGTGCAATATATTTGCTCACATTTTGTCAACTTCTCATCGTTATCAACCCGATAAAAACACATTCTTTTACATTACATTAAATCTTTCAATCAGAATTCAATTTTCTTTTCTTGTGAATTTCTTCATCATTTGTTTCTTTTTTTATACTTTTCTTTTACTTCTGATGCACCGAAACATTGTACAATTGCAATAAAACTTTTCTCTTCCCAACATTGATCTTTTGCCTTTCTTCCTCTCAACATTTATCACTTTGGAATGTCAAATATCATTGCAGAGAAAATTATATAAAGAATAAAATGTCATCTCTGAAGACTTGTAAGATTAACAATTTCTCTACAATTATTACCTCCTTCAAAAAGTTTTCTAAATATTCAAAATGAAAAAAAAAATGTCTCTCTAGTATGCATACTGCATTACAATAAAACAAAATAAACATCTGCACGTGACGAAAAGAATCTTATTTGCATCAAATATCTTGTGATTTTATCAAAGAAAATTCTCTAGTGCTAATAGTAACATGATCTTTTTCGTGTGTAATATTTCTCTCCTCACCTTTAATCCAATCTTCAATGCAAAAGTTGTACGATAGAATAAATTTTGTTACATGAAAGAGATTTCTCTACACACCTTTGTCTTCCTCATCTCTTTTTTCAATTTCACTCATCTAATGACACGCAAAATACATAAAAATTTATATAGTTTTCTCTCTCTGTGTGTGTGTATTTATAATGCTCGCTAAAAACTAATTTTGATTAAGTATTCAAATTCTATTTCTCACTTTTTCGAGAATAAACATTAGAAAAAAAAATATATAAAGATTGCCGAAAAAGAATATGTATTTAAGCTACAATAAACTTAGATATACATCTCTCTTATAAACCTTGTTATTTTCTTGCACTTAAAAACGAAAAAAAAATATGTCTAATCATAATTGTTTCATTTATAGCCAAGGTAGAAAATATATAAATATAGGACAAAGTATTAGTCTGTGTGATAAAATAAGCTTTTCTTCTGCTAAACACCTTTTTGCCCAAAAGTATTCTTCAATCCACTAAATAATTTCCATGGCAAATTGATTTGTTATGTCCTTCCTTTAGCAATCCAGACATTAAAATTGTATGTTTTTTGCTTCACAAATAAATGATAAGAGGAAAAAAAAAACATTTTGGTCTGTATTTAATCTACAGCAAAACACTATTTCTGATCAAATTTCACTTCTTTTTCTAACTATCGTTTCATTCAGATTAAGAATTCAGATTCTTGGGCAATTTTACTGGTTTTAATTTAATATTCTATTGACATTTTCTGAATGAAACAGTGTTCTTGGAACTATTTACTGACCAAACTGCTGTAGCCCAAATCAGACCTTAAACTTTCTGTCTGTCTACATTCTTTGGATGTCTTATTTTTCTTCTGTGGATGATATATCATAACGAAGGATGAAATTTGATAAAATTTGCAACAGATTCACGAATGACGAGACGTAAATGTTAATTTCTCCCTGTTTTCCATTCGCTTTCATCTCTAAAAGACTTTTATATGCACACGAAGCTTCGTGCAGGAAAGTGTGGACGAAGAACTTAGAGCGTCAGCGGAGTGTCCAGCATCTCATTGACGAACGTCTCGAGCTGCTTGTCGCCTATCAGGCGGAAGAAGAACAGGTGATCGAGACACTTGAGGCTGATGGAGCGCAGCGCCGGCAGCCGCAGCAGGAGTTGCGCGAAGCGCCCATCATCGCCAGGATGTTCAGTGCGACAGTGTTCGTCCAAGCATGCGTACACTTTCTCACGCAGAACATCCACATCCTGTCGGCACTTGAGTCCGCGAATGTCTGGAATTGTGGCTGATTTCCGTTGAGCAACGGCACACAGTGAGCAAATCTAACACATGTAACGTCAATATGAGTAAAATATCTCACCTGGATTGAACAGAATGATCGCCTTCAGGCAGCCCAACTCCGCTCGATCCATATTCAGTCGCTTCATCTTCACACTCAGCTCCGACAGGATGCGATCGAAGATCGGCGCCACGCCCGCCTGCTGCGCACTGTTGCGGTGCAGCGTGAAGTTCGGGCCCAGACACATTAGCTGCGGCTGTCGCACGATCGATCGTCGATCGATCGTGCCATCAGGATTTGTACGTTCCGTATCGAGATACTACAAAGAAGGAATTGGATCAGAGACTTAAGCAACATGTTTCCAAAGCTATTCTACGTGTCTGACAGTAATCGAATTCAAGGAATTCGATTTGAGCATAAATGACCGATCAACAGACTTTTCTTTACTGACCAAACTGAGCCACTATTGACATCAACTCACCTCTATACTTCTCCATGCCACCGAAGCGATAATCAGCTCATTCCAACCAGCCCTCAAAAGAGTCACTTGATCCTCGCGCTGCAGCTGAGAAAAATGGGGCATTCGCCTGGCGTACTCGATCAACTGATAAAGCTGCTTGTTGGCCATTTGGCATAAATGCGACACAGCTCCCTGGAATGCCAATAAACTCTCTCAGATCTCATGTTCTCTGCGCGCCAGCCATTAAAAAGCCATCAATTCCCCCATGATCAGTGTCAATGTGTTCTCTCGAACTCATCTCAAGGTTCTCTTACTCTCTAAATCTGGGGTGTTTAGTCGCGTCTATCTCACCTTGTATTCCGGTGGAACCATTGAATTTGGACCAACTCTCAAGTACGGAATTGCATTATCACCACATGTTTCACTCTTTTGCTCAGCCTCGAGAATCCTCTCGATCGTCAAATCACGCACTGAACTCGTTGGATTCAGATCGTCTTGCTGCAGAGCAAATAAAGAAAAAAAAAACACACTGATTTAATGCCTTTATCACACTCACAAATGCTAGAAATTATTACCTTTGTTGGTAACTTCGCGCCTCGTTGTCTCTCCTCCTGAACAGCCTCTCTCTTCATTCCACAATTGAGACATTTCTGATATCTGCAATACTGACACCGATTTCTCTGTCTCTTATCAATGATGCAATTCTTATCTTCACGGCAAGCATAAGTCAAATCCTTCCTCACAGTCCGCTTGAAGAAGCCTTTGCAGCCTTCACAACTGTGTCAATAGAAAAATACCACCAGAGAAGAAGAAGATTAGAAAACATTCGTATTCTATACAGTAGTTAAGCAAGATTAGTAAATAGAAAAGTTGTTGCTCTTTCAGCAACGATGAAAATTTGTGTGGAAAACACAACTATAAGACCCATAAAAATGATAAAAGGCAAGCGATTCTGTGTCTTGAAGGGTGATAAAAAGCTCTTCTTGAATCTGAGATTTGTATCACTGTGTGACTTCGCCTTGACATTTTCTCACTCTACATCACACTTTTATCCAATCAGTGACATTTTGCCGGAAGTATCATCATCGTGTATAAAAACGTGTATTTCACTCTTAACCCTTTCAGGACCATAATTTCACGGACAATTGAATTGTGTCTCTTAAAAATATTTAACGTTTTTTACCCAAAAGAAAATTTAATAGGACAAATATGACCCAAATTCTTTCTTCTTATTTCCTCTTGAGGGTCTTTACGCTCAAAATGGCCATAAAAATAATATTTTCAAGAGTTTTTTTGCGTAATGTAACAAAAAAAACCTTTCTCATATCTCATCGTGTACTCAAATGTGTGGTTTTGCACTGCAAAAACCCTTCAAAACTCCTTTCCGAATGGTAAAAGATAAGCTCACTTCTAAGGATTTAACATTTCCATACAAAAACGCTTCTTCCAGGTTTTCTTCTATTCGATTTAACGAAATTTTAAGACGTTCAACCATTGATTATAGTATTACCTGTACACTCCGTAGTGCTTCCCGCTGGCCCGATCGCCGCAGATTGAGCACAGATGCTTGGATCCACTGAGCGGATGATTGGGCGGATATGGAGATCGATTGGGAGGGTTTTGGCTGTTGAGCGGAGTCGTGGGCGTCGACGCCTGCATCGGAATCTGTCCGCCATACGAGCCCGGACTGCCCGGTGGGCCGCCGTTTCCTGTGGCGCTGCCGCCGCCGCCGCTAGGCGAAAATGATCCTGCACAATTGCCATTGAGCAGCGCTGTGTCGGGCTTCAAATCAGGCGGCGACAGTGGTCCCATGTGTCCTATCAGACTAGGATCGAGACCTGCGGAGTAAATAGAGCATCAGAAGTCAAGTCATTATTCACATCCGCACACAGCCACACAAGGGGGAATATATATGTATATCATTTTGCATTCGCGAGAGGAACAAATTGTGCGAGAATCTTTCACATCTCCCTATGTTCTTTTGCATATTTGACCTTGGCGCAAGCTGCATTAGATCATCATCAAAGAATAGCAGCAGAGAACACAGATGCAGTCGCAACAACACAAACGACAAGGCGCAACACGCGCAGAAGTGAGGTGAAAACCAGATGTAACATATAGACTACATGTAAATGGATTAGGTTAAATTTTATTCTGTGCTTCATTTAACCTTTTCCTGCACTTGAACTTTCACCACCCCATCAAAAACACCTCGTCATCTAGCACAATTGAGCAAAACAATCTCCTGAACCCCATCATCTTTTTTTTTTGTACGCAAAACTCCTCTTCCACACTCTGCTATTTATCTCCATTCACGCGCTCTTTCCGTCCAAATAGAGTCTCGAGACATGAGGAATGAATAAATTGAATTTAAAGACGTCTGTCATTGAGAGAATTTATGTCTCATCGTGCAAAAATTATTTTTGAATCTCTCTCTCGCTTGTGCATCTGGGCTATATAACGTCTGTGTCTCAATGACTGTGAACCACATTTCGTCGGCGAATGTCTGGCATTTGGTCTATTGACCATTCTGTCTCTCCTCCTCTAGACTAAACACACTCACAAACAACCCCAAAAAGCAAAGGTGTAGACAATTTGTGTTTTCTGCACTCTCTTTGCGCGCACTGCCAGAAAAATTTCCTTTACAGACTGTTTTTCTTTTTGCAGAAAAAAATTTGTGACAATTTCAGAAATGCATCTTTTTACATTATTCCTCATCTCTCCACTTTGCAAAGGCACAACAAAGACTTTAATAAATCTTGAGCAATCTATTTAATCAACCTCCCACATTATTTCACATTAAATTTCATATACAAATCGCAAATGACAGAATGACTTTTATTAGCATAATTGCCTCCATGACCACTGGATTTAATGCATTCTTATACCGTGACACTTTGCACCATTATTCTCATTTTGCTGCGTAAATAATCCTCATTACACATTGTTTAATGTTAACCCTAAGCATGGCACTGAATCGTCTTCATTCCGAATAAAATTTTCAATTATATCATTATGATTTCATCATATTGGAATTATTAATAATAGCAACAGAATAATTGTAATTCGTACACTACTTGATTCTTAAAGACACAAATAAAGAGAAATGTTTTTTTTCAGATTTATCTATAAACCCTCAGAACAGAATTAGACACTCCATCTTTCTTTTTCCCTGATAAAACGTCACGTGCAAAAATGAATTAAACGATTCGTATTATATACTTCTTGTAGTGAGACATAACAATTTAATCGCTAATTCTCATGCTTAATTGTTGGTCATAAAATTCAATTATACTTCTTGATTCTGGACTTCTATACACAGAGACATATAATACACAGTGAATGTTGTATGTGTACAATAAAAATGCCAATTAGAATTTATCTTTATATAAAATACGCTCAGTTTGGCTAGAATAAGAATCACAGCCAATTCTATACTCTCCAAACATTCTGTCGTATGTCATTCGAGTGTTACGCGATTGTGTGGCGCGTTTGTGGAGAGGAAAAAGCAGGAAAAAAGTATCTGCAGCTTATAATGACAAATAAACCACTCTCAGTCTACCGGATAACTACTATGTACACAGAACAGAGTGATACATAGAAATAATTTGAGTCAGAGATTTTGTTATGTGTAGTAGACACATTTATTGTATTCCTCATTCGTCAGTGTTTGTGAAAATGTCGCGCTGAAGGCCACAACTAATTTTCATCACACCGCATTTTATCGTATCTAATTGCCAATATACTGTAACTTTGATTATATTATTGCTGTTGTGTATATACAACTAATCCATGGGATTTTGCACTTTGAAAAAAAGGCACTTCAGTAAAGTGATCTTTTGAATGTGCAAAAGAAACCCAGAATTGAAGATATAATTCACCTACATAGATGATGCTGATAATATTATTACATCAATATTGCACTCGCATTTTCCCCAGAAAAAAAATCCATTGCATTTTCCCTTGAAAGTCCCATTAAAAAATTATATGTATATATGTAAAAGACATTTTGTCCTTCAACGAGAATTTCTCACTGAAAGTCCTCAGACTGTAAAATCGTCTCGATAGCACATCTGAATTATTCAGTCACTGAGCGAAACTTCGAGAGCTTTTCCTTCAGTCTCTCTCTCTCAGCCCCTCTCATTGGCTAAGGTCATTCGTGCTGCGCCCTTCAGTCTCACCACCCCATCCCAGTATTGCACCCCGCGTCATTGGGAGATCTTCAAGTTGCATTCACTTGGGGAAGGTCGTGAAGGTCAACAACTATCAGCACAGCCACACACAGAAGCACACTGGGAAAATCAATAACTCCCAGAGAACACATAGTCGCATGCATCCTTGCCCGCCTTCGAAACCACCCTTCACAATCCCGCCACGAAGCGACAGAAGTTGAACTGTTGAATTTATACAGCTTTAATTTAATAACTCAAAAAAACAAGACTTTCTCTCCAATGCTAATGCTGATTCAGTGAATTAAGGACTTTCATTTCAGAAGAAAGACACAAAGAGCCGTGATTCCTCTGTAAATTTCATCCCATTCCCTCTTTGGCCAATTTTGCAGAGAAAAACGCGACCTACACAAACATGGTACATGAAAGCGTAGGTTGAAGGATTGCTTCAGCACATGCGCATCCCATCATGTGCATCCACAATCATCCCTCTCCCCCTCTTTCTCTCTCTCGCTTTGTGAACGTGAGGACTTCTCTAGGCCACCCACCACCACCACCCCCAGCGGGTTCTCAAGGTAGTCCCAACTAGAAAACACACCATTTAACTCCAAACGACGTCTGACTGTCGCTTGCAAGCGTGCCATTTTCACGCAGACAACTCTGAAATTGTCTGCAGATAGGGATGAAGCGCACTCAGCGATTTTCCCAACTCACGCCACTGCCAATTTCCATCCAGACACCATCACACTCCAGAACCCACCCTTGACTAACGAGGAGTGGGTGGCAAATTCACAAGTGGAGCGGCAATATCATCGGCTAAATCACGTTCATGACCAATGTCAATGCTTCTGACATTGTCTACCACACTCCACAAACACGTACAATCTCCAAAATTATAGTTCTCCGTCATTGCACAGAACTATTTCTCATTTTTTCCAGATCTCTAAATCATCACGCGACTACAGAAAAACGACGGAAAGCATTTCTATAGATTCTTAGCAATCATTGCTATAAAGTTATGATAAAAAAGGTGAAAATTTCATAAAATATCTAAAAAATCTGCCGTAAAATGAAGAAATTAAGAATTCAATGTCAAAAAGACAAACAATAAAATACCTGCAAAACTCCTGTCCCAAAGTTTTCCCTGTGCCTGAATAATTGCAGCCACAGACAGCATTGGTTTGTCTTTTTTCATCATTTTGACGCCTCAGTAACACTGATTTAATTAAACACTTTAATCTAAATTTTTTTTTGTGTGTGTGAAAGAAAAATTCCAATTTTTCCACACCAAGTCTCTGTAGTGAATTCAAGAAATTGACAACGTGAAGTAATGAAACAGTGATAGAAATAGAGAAAGGAAGAGAGTGAGATGGTGAGAATAGCTGATAGGCGAATGCATTTTCTTATCACACAAAGCTGTGAGAAAGGAAAAATTGCCTCAACTCTGTGTCATTCTCAAATTCACTTGGCTAGTCAACTCTCCGCATGCAGTGCTGTTATCAAAAATTGTGATAGCGCGTCGCTTCACACGGTAAAATGTATTCTGGGTGTGTAAACACAGACGGAATTTTAACACTTCATATATATATGTACATATATAGCACACATATGTACATATTTTGAACAACAATGACTCCAAGAAGGAAAACAGAGAGAGAGAGAGAGACGCATGAGACACGCCAATATTAAACATATCGGTCAAGTTTGTCTTTGACAAACAGTTCATGGTCGTCTGGATTACAGAATGTCTACATTCTGGAAATTTGTATAATATAGCATCTATTCTGAACAACTCTGTGCAGTATTGATGACACAATATGCTTAATGAGGAATTCTTTCTTCAACTGCTTGACACACCTACAAGATGTGTGCAAAGTATGGGGAAAACAAAGCGAATATGTTGAGATAAAACATCAGAGCGAGCAGCCAAAAATCTAAATTGCGTCGTAGAGTAAAATTATATATGCAGAACTTATGTATATTTCAAAATTGCATAGAAAAATAGTAGAAAAAATTCCCTAACAGTCACGGCTTGGCGATGGTGAAAAACACTTTTCACTCTGAAAATTTTCTAATGACACACAGAGAGCATATGAAAATTCCTTAGCGCTGTGCTTGGAGTGTATATTTCCTAGCCAGCGCGCGTGAGTTAGTCAAGGAGAAAAGAAGTGATCTCTCAGAGCACTGTGAAGAATTAACTCTTCCGTGTCAATTTCTTAATTCACATCATCTAGAGAGAAAAGAAGAGGCACACACATTTATCAACCGTTGACGAATTGAGACTCCCCTTTTCACCCTTATTCACACCGAATTACACATGAGAAAATATGACAATAAATTGCTGAATATATCAAGATATTTTGACTATTAAACACTGGGAACTTAATGTAATGCCAAATTCATAGATTTCAGCACACAAATTGCCACCACTCTATGACGTGCATCACACGAGCAATGCATCGCCAATCGCAGACCCGATCGTCTGGCTGGCTGGAATGAAACTGCTCAGCTTTTCACGACCATCGTGGCAAATTCTCTTCACTGTTTTTCCACCGCGCGAATTCTCTCTCGCGCTCTCGCACAAATACAAGCCATCAAAACAGAAACAGATTCTGAGAGCGTTGCCGGCGCGAAAACACAACACTTCGACTGTGTTGTCAAGCCACCACTCATATTGTAAATTCAACGAGCAATTCTTCAATGTTTGCGTGCGCGCTCGTGAGAGTTGCGAGAGATCAGCAGCTCTCAGACTGAAAATCTATCCCAGAGAGTGGTGTGAGATGAAGTGAATTGACGATGCTTCATTGCAGATTTCTTCTATGCAGAAGTTAAAGACAAATTCTTTCGTGCAATATTAAAAGATTATAGAATTGCAAAATTGTCAAATTTGTTAACATGATCAAAACAAGTTAAATTCAAACACTGTCCACATTTTGTTGTCGCACTTTAACAAGTGTGTGGGTAATTTTATTATTAATCTTCAATGTCACCGGTAACCGTATGGGAAAACAATAAGTCAATTAAAAGGAATTCAATTATGTAAATTCTTTGACATTGACTCTAAACTTCTTGCCTTCCTCTTTGTTGTCAATTTTGAGATAGTCAGAAAGTCAATAGTTTAAATTACAGAGATTTTCTATCTATGAATATTTTCAGACAAATTCATTCATTGAACAATTTTGCCCAAAAAATGCTTCGAATAAGTTGATTGTATTTTTTTATTCTTTGTAAATATGGAAATGTTTTTATTCGGTTCAAAAATACAGGAAATTATACTCTTTGACATTCTTTAATCCCAGATTAAGGAAATTAAAAAATTAAATGTTTTTTTTTGCTCTAATACAAAGAAAGCATTTTAAATCTATTTGCATTTATTATTATGTTTAAAAGTTATGAATAAACTAATTCAATAAACGAGAATATGAATTGAAGAACGTTCTTCACAGTTTTTCTTTTATGGGCTTTGACAAAATATACTTTGTAGGCTTTTCGAAAAAGAATCAAGGAAAATTCACATTCTCTTCTTCATTTCAATCATCTTGATTTCAAGCAACAATTTTCATCCCCTCGAGTTAAATTACACAATATAAGACTCTTCAACGATTCTTATATGTGGCGTTTTCTTGTTAAATTGTTACAATCCTATAAGAAGTGATTCCATTTCACTATATACCACTCTGCATGTGCGTGTGTGTTTGTGCGCTTTCTGACTCGTGATCCATCGTGAACATCTGCATCTGTGCTCTTTGCCATCCACTAAGCTGGCTATTCAATTCCCGTCTTCTGGCTATCTTAAGCTCGCGACACACACAGCAAACCGCACGACCACAGCAGATGAGGAAACAAGAAAATATAAGTCGGCACATAAATACTCGCGACTATTGAAACTAGATTTTCAAGGTCACCAAATGTTTGGTGATTTTTACTTTTAGCACAGAAACAGAGTCTCTCTCAGCCCCTGCGTACCTGTGTGAGGCGACTATATATATAAATATACATATATCTTGTATGGGAAAAAAATGAATAAAATTACCATACAAACTTATGTCCTCAAGAGGCACACAAAACGCAGAAAAAGAGTGAGAAATAGAGGAAATTTGAGGCACGACAAGAGGAACTTTAGGGCTAAAACACGGAGAAAAACTCTCTTAATATGACGCAAAATGTGGGTCATAAAGTCGTGAACTCAGAAAAACATTCTTTTTTTTACATCTCAATTAATCCATTTCAAACAACACTCCAGTAAACCCAGGAAATCATCAATGCTTCGAGGTGGAAAAAAGTCTTTTTCACAGTAAGAAATTCCAGAATTGGAAATAGAGACGCTCAATCATGTGATTCGAGGATATCCATTAAGTGAAGACTGGAGGACAAAAAGAAGATATGAGAACAAGAAAAAGTTACTGGATGTGACCTTCAAATATCTCTCCGTTCTTCATTATACATACACTTCATCTCTCTCTGTGTTATCAAATCATATATAAAGTGTGTCTGTGTGAAAAGGAGGCGAAATGCTGTGGAAAAGCGCATGCAAAGCCAGAGAATTCGACCAATTCTCAACACTTTTGCTTAACACAAAGTGCAATCAAGACTCTTCCTGCGGATTAGAAGGAATTTTGCTGTGTTGAATCCATCACGATTTTTCATCTTATCATCTCATTTTCACCCACACTTTTGAGGAAAACAAACAACAAGAAATTGCACTTGTCAGCCCTTGTAAAGTGTCATTAGGCCAAATGTCGTGCATGAGTTAAAGGCCAGTGCAATTGCAGCTACTGTTGCGATGGGGAAAAAGCAGGAAAATCTCCTGCGGGGGCGTCAAAATCGGCCAACTTTCTCTGGGGCCCGCGAGAGTCACTGTTGCCACACGTCACGCACCTGAAAGTATGCTCTCGCGCGCGCGTTTGTGTGTGTGTGAGAGGGTGGGGGGCAGAGCACACTGAGATCTCTCTTCTAAATTGAGGAAAATATCACCTCTCTCACTCCCACTGGCTGAGCGCGCGTGCAGAGGGAGTGAGATGGAGAGCGTGGGTCAGGAAAATTCGTGGTCAAACTGCGTAGCACTTCCAGGATGTGTGGGTGGGACGAAGGGTAGCGAGTGCCTTCGCTGCCCATACCCAAGGAACGCACGCGAGTGCATTTGCGGCATATTGAATGAGTTTTGAGGTATGGTTTGTGAATGAAATCATTGGACAAACTGTGTTATTGGCCTCATTTTGTTCATGTCAAAGGAGGGCAGAAAATGCCGCCTAAATGCCTGTGCCAGAGCGAGATGCACAGCTTAAGAGATGGTCTTCAACTCACCCAAATCTTTTGTATCCATTGATGTGAAGCGCGGGAAATCAGCAAAATCAATTAGATAACACCACGGCAGCAACACGGAGACTTTGACGCACTTTTCTGTCCACTTTTCACGCGGAAAATCAAGCACAGTTGCAGAGGAAATCCAACGTTACGGGGATTGAGTCAAAAAAACATCATGGCGGTGCTAAAGCTGTCAGTGGACTGGGTCAATGAACTGACTCGAATTTCTCCTTCGGCACTGCCAATTCACTTCGAGCTACAGCATCGTCTTATCACTGAAATCCTCCCGCTCGCAGAGCTGATAGCAGCATGCCAATTTTCACGGTGTTAACACTCTGATTTGGCCCAAAAACACGCCACGAATCAAATTTCCGTACACAACACTGCAACTCACCACACGCCCTGTCACTGTGACAGTCTCGAGGTGTCTCGGCTAGTGATGTGCGGTGAATTTCGCCAGTCATCAGCGCCATCAATGATTGATCCTCAAACTGTCCGTCATCAAGAGTTTTGGCGCCGAATGACGGGAATTTAGTAAATTTATATTAACACAATTAAGTTATATATTTAATTCTATCCTGCCTCTCTTTTTACTTTGCTTACTATATGTCTAAATGGGGTACGTTAATTAGTGAGTGAGTAAGAGAAAGAGTTATAATGGAAATTATCGCCAAAGGCGGCGAATTAACTCTTTGCTCCCTTTGCGATCGAATTTGTTACATTAAAAATGGAGAAAACAATAGTTTGTACCTCAATTTTTATCAATTTTGTAATCCTTCTTGTACACAAAAGAAGAAATTCCGGACAGAAAAGTCTTACGTCTTTTGATCTTGTCCAGAATATGGATATTCTCAGTGAGAACAGTGACTTTGTTAATGGGTTAATTGTTAAAAATGTGAACTAATGCAGAGAATCGTGGGTGCAGGGGAAGCTGCGCTGCCAAGGTCAGCGCTGGGGGTCAAGATCTATGCCTTGAAGTGCTGTGAGAAGTTCGACTGTGCGCTGAAAAGTGTCGAAGGAATATCAAATGGCACATCATTCAATCCACTGGAGCATCAACGCGGGTCCAGCAGTCAATTGAGGGAAATCACATTGTATTTACACGCGGCAAATTGAGTTGAGAAAATTGGCCAAAATAAACACTCACACTCGGTGAACTCGAAATAGTTCTTCTGACTTTTCCAATTCAATTCACTTAATTCGATATAATTTAATGACTATTGTGACGAGATGCTGTGGCGTCAATTGAACTGGATATTTGATCGCTCGCGCCTCTCTCTCTGCAGATGATCCGCGCGTTTCGGGATTCAACAGAAATTGACACCGAAATTGATGCATTTCGGGAGGGCGCGAGTTTGTCATGTCGTTATGTTGGCATGTTGAAAACTGCCTCTCTTCCACCACGCATAATTATCAATTTACGCTCTTGATTTATTGCACGTAATTTGTGTGTTCTTACACGACTTAACGACTGATCTGTTGGGAGAAAAAATCAAGATAATTCCAGCGTTTTTCGAGCTTGTTTATTTACTTTAATTAGAATGTGTTGACTTTTGGGGCGGCTCTCGAAATTCGATCTTGAGAATCTTGTGAGCTTTTTCTCGTTCCAGTTTTATAGTCCATTCCTCGAGTAGAATATCTCGATTGTTTGTTGGAGTTCTCCTTAATAAAAAGAGACGAGTAATTATTCGATTTGTAACAATAGATCCGTGGTGAATAGAGAAAATGCAGAGAATGGCTCACAAACTTGCTCACAAGTGTGGAGGTTCAAATAGGGCATCAACTGATGCCATGTGAACGAGAGTGCATACAAGGGGGAGATAATATGATTGAAATTTATATGAAAAATCCCAAACGCCTTTTAGGAGTCTCCGAATGGACCAAAGATTAAAAACGCGATTTGTGTCTGAAGTCTTGTTTTGTATAATATTCAAATTTGTCTCATAAAACAATTAAGGAAACGATTTTTTTTATCGTCGAACTCTCGCAAATGAACTGTAATGTTGTACACCATTTTCGATTGCAATATCTCCTCCTTGAATGCAGAGATGATTGACAATTGATTCTGCGGGGAGTTCCAGACATCTGGTCAACTGCTCGGTGTTCTTGCCGCGGGGGATCGGGATTTGGCGCCAAAATGAGCCTCATTAATCAGTTACTTCACGAGTGTAATCCTCCTCTTCTGAAGGTAAATGCTGGTAATCTCTCACTTCTAGCCCCGGGACATTTTCTCTCCGCTCCGCGTCTTGTGGAGCTTCTCGCAAAGGGTCACGCGGAATGGCATCCTCATGAGGACAAATGCAATTAGAGATCTCTTTTGAGCACTGCTACGGGAAATGATGTGTGATTGAAGTCTTTTGTTGGCCATTTAAGATGCCAACAATGCTCCCTCACTGTCCAGCATTCAGAGGGGACGCGCGCTCGCCATGCCGCCCGTCGCGCTCACTCAGTGGATGACTTGCGAGTGAGTCGGACGCAATTTCAGTCGCGCGTGTAAAGGCACTCAAAAGTGGCACAGTTCGGGGGGTTAATAGGTGTATTAAAGGATATCGTATAACTTCCGTGACCTCTGTGAATACATAGCATAGCTGAGGGAGAGAATGAGTGGGGTGTTTGTAACATTTATTCATGGATTTATTGCCTCTCTCATGATTATTTCCACTGGGGTTCTCGGACACAAGGCCATGGATTTCTCCAGTGTGCCCACAACAGTGAAAACAGTGGAAAATGACACAGTTCTCCTTCCCTGCTCTCACAATGGTAAGATAAAAGGAGCAATAGTTTGGTTAGAGAATTTCTGGTTAGAATTTCATTTTAAAAATGATCCAGAAAACACATTCATAAATTCTGCTTGACCAAGAAACATATTTCCCACAGCAGAAGGACTGAAATCTTTCGCCACTTCTTAGCCGCACATTTCACTACAATGATTGTGTCAATTTTGCAAAAGTCCCTCCGACAATCGCCACCTCAATTGATGCGATTGCGAGATAGGAGAGATTGTACATAATGTATTAATTTATGCATGGAGAACAGAACGTCTTTTGCTGCCTCGTTCTACACAATACATATGAAATACATAAGATTATAACATGCCAGAGACTTCTTCGTGAGAATATATACAGTGGTAAAGAATTCTTCAGGACGAGTTTTTACGCTCATTTCAAAGTAATTGCAGAACTGTGCTAAAGTCGACTTTCGAAGAGATTTCACGTCTTTTCTGCTGAATCACCAGCAGAATTACGCACAATAGCGCCACACATTTGAAATTTATCGATAAAATACTTCACAAATTGTGTATAAATGTTGATATTCGACGCCCCAACAAGAGCGTCTGGATAGAAACACTCGATAATTGAATAAACAAGGATCACATGTATAAATAGTAAATTGGTGTTGTGAAGCACAATCGATAAATCTACATTATTGAATTCTCGCCCTTCTTGTCGAGTTCTTTCTCCCCCTCTTGAATCAATCAACTTTTGTACAACTTCCCTTGGCGCGCACAAAAAAGCGCGCGCTCAAATGCCAAAGACACCAATATTGGTCGCATCGCGGGCAAAAAACACGCTGAGGTCAATTAATTGATGTGTTCTCGCGTCAATTTCCATCGCCAGGCCCTTATGGTTACGTCCGATGGCTGCGGGAGGAGGCGTTGCTCGCAGACTCGGGCAATCCCAGCTTCACGCCGCCAGAGCGTGTCACGCTGTTCGCCAACGGAAGCCTGCAGGTCGCCAGCGTGAAGCTGGAGGACACGGGCGAGTACTTGTGCCAAATTGCCAGCGACTCCGGTCTGGCGATGCAGCGGCACGCCATCGAAGTCCAATGTAAGTTTGATATGCAGATAATCGCACCAAAAGCAATGCTTAGGGGAAGATGCCACACAATAGCGCACATATGAGTAGCACCGGGAAATTGCACGTAATTGCGCGGTCTTTTGTGTGAAATTATTGGATGGAATTGCAATTTTTCAATTAGAAGACAGCAGGTTTAGACAGAATTTTCAGTCAGAATGCAAGAGCTTTTCCTACAGAGAAATTCTCAAATAATTTTTATTGCTTCACGCATTCTTTTCTGGTAATAATTTTTGTTAGAATTAGAATTTTTTAATAAAAAAAAACGACTTGGCTACTATCTAAATTTTATTTTGTTCTAGTCTAAGAAGAATATGTTATTTCAAAAGTGCGGAAGTAAATTTTGTGCCACTATATTTATGCTAGTCTGTGTTCCTTATGAGATTTTTGGCTTCATTTCTGCCGCCCACAATTTCTGTGGATGTTCCATAACGACGCCTCTTTCCGTTCCATGTGCGAACTTCCTTCCGGCCGCAGATCCGCCATCCGTGATTTCTCACCCCAGCGGCGAGGTGACGATGAAAGTGGGTGCGCTGTTTGAAATTGTCTGCGAAGCGCGAGGCGTGCCGTTTCCCATCATCTCCTGGCGGCGCCCAGGAGAGAATGCCAGCGATCCCGACCACGTGGAGAACCGTCGGCGGTTGCTGGTGGAAGTGCGGAGTCGCCACGACGCCGGCGTCATTGAGTGCGTGGCCGATAATGGCTTCGGCTCGCCGGCCGTGGCGGGAGTCCTTCTGGTCGCCCAGTGTGAGTATCGCATTTGAGATGAGAGGGAGTTTCTCAGGCTGACTTGTTACGCTTGAGCAGTTGTGCCGGAAGTGAAAGCCGAAACGAGCGTCGTTCACACCAAGATCGGATTTCGCGCCACTCTCGAATGCACCGTCACGGCTGAGCCCAGCGCCGTGGTCCACTGGTTCCATCACACGGCGCCCGTGACTGACAACAAGAAGATCGTGCGTCAAGACACGCTGGAGGTGAGTCGGAAAGTTTGAGGGGCTGAGAATGATGAAGGGTTGAAAGCAAGGGGAGAAATCGTGGTCGAGAATAGTGTACAGAATTATTCTGAAGTAGAAATTATCGCATATCTAGGATATTTGATAAACCAAAATCGTTGTCCTGGTATTTTTTTTTCAACTTGCCCAATTTCTCTTTATCTGATGTTTATAAAAATCCTTTTTGCGCTACTGTTTTTAAATATGAGTGAAAAATGTGATAATATAAAGAGAAATTAAGGAAATAATATGAATATTTTATTGCCATTAAAAGAAATTGTTGTATTAACAGTATAGTATCCGTTATCCTGGTATTTCTTCACAACTTCCCACACGTCTTTTATCTGATCGTTAGACATTTGAACACTGAACATATTTTTGAGACAATCTGTGGTGTTTCTTGTTTTCTCAATGAAAATTTCTTCAACTGTTCTAGACTTGAGCAAAAGATTGTTCACTGGTGTTATTCTCGCATTGATTTTCTCTCTGAGTATGCCTAGTACATAGACATCTTCCACCCAAAAGAAGGGAGTTGTTTCTGCCGCCTTGTGGAGCTTCTGAGCCACGTCAGTCGTCATAAGCAGTGCAAATCCTGGACAGTAGGCAGGATAAGTCTCATTCGGATACTCTTCACGAGTAACAAACCATTTCTGTGTCTCATCTCTCATCACTGTGGGCAACCGATTCAAAGCACAGAAAATGAAATCACTTGTATTGTTCGTATTAGTAAGCTTGTTTACGAAATGCAGGATGAATGGAGTGTTAGCGAAGACATCATCGTCGCATTTGAAGATGAATTGAGTTTCTGGGCAGAATTCTGTGGCCCATTTTAATGCCATAATGTGTTTGTAGGAGAGATTTCTGTAGCTATCCACAAAGTTGCCTTGAACAATGTCTTGGAAGAAGTCGTTTTCCATTTGTATTTCCCTCTGCAAGTTTTCCGATTCGACGGTCCCCAAGAGAAAAAGCACACGATGGTCGATTTTCCATCCTCCCCAACTTTGTCGAATGGTGTGTCTTTTATCGGTATTCATTGGAGCACTCGGGATCAGGACGATAAACTTTGGCTTAACTCCCAATTGTCGGCACGATTTCTGATTGATCACGTAGTCAAAGTCTGTGAGATTAATCAAAAAGCGTCGATCAGACGATGCAAATTCACTTTCCGTGATATTCTGGATAATTTGTTCATAATTTTGCAGTTTTTCCGCATTCCAGATCACAAATGAATACGCGAGAAACACAAGGAAGAACAATATCCAGTATATCGATTGTGATTTGAAGCAAAAGTTTCTTTGAACAACTGAGCAATTGAACATTGTGTTGATCACGATCCAACTAAACGGATCCAACGGAACTGTGGCTTTTTTACGAACATAATTCTAATCGGAATTATACTAAATTCAAATTTCTCTATCGCGAGCAATTCGTTTCGTGTGCTATTATTAAACTCCACGTGCCAGATAAAATCCAGAACTGATGTTTCCTTCACCTGTTCTGTTCAAATACCTGTTCTGCTTTAGTCAAGGCTTCAGTGAATTGTGTGGACTAGAAAAAGAATGTGATAAGCAAACGCCAAGATTATCTTATAACTCGGGTTTAATGGCTTTGATCAAAGGGTTGCTAATGTCGGAGATGCAGAATATTGTTGAGACGGAAAAACGCCTTGCCCTCATCTAAGTCACACTGCTAGGAAAAGTAACTTTCCGACTGATTTCCCCGAAGCACACACAACAGAACAACATCTCTGCACGCTCCCATTGTAGGTCAAGGGTCAGTGAGTGTGTGAAGATTTCTTCTGCAATACCAGGGTTTATCAACGGAGGATTTCCGTGCCGCGAAGAGTTGGATCAGGGCACTCCCTGCGGGTGAGCGTCCGTTGAGGTGTCTCAGATCTCTTCCCTTCAGGGGGAAGTTACTACTGCATCCCCTTCAGGGGTGCAGCCCCTCATTAGCCAAGTTGAGGGCTTCGCCAACCTCGATATTGAGTAATAAATGTGTTTCTGTGCGTCTTAAATGCAGTGTATTTGGAATTGTGCACTCAGGAGAGTCCGCTTCGGTTTCGTCCCTCTGGCCACGTTTGCGGGTGGAAATTCTGCACAACAATAAATTAATTTCCACTTTTTTCTTTAATATTTTTATTATTAACTGTTTGTTTAATCCGCGAGATCGTTTTTCGACAAATCGAACTGAACGGTCAACTCCCGAATTAATTGAATCGCGATGTAGTCGAGATACCACGGAGATGCAAGTTGCTGTGGCTCTGAAAACCTACATTAGCACCCCCTTGACCTTTGTACAAGCATTAGATATTGGAGATTCTGTTCGGAAATTGTGATAGTGTTGGACAGATTTGTTGCATATTTTTCCCCCTTGGCTGACAGTTTCCTTCCTTCTCAGTCGTCACGATCGCACAGCCAACTGTACACAGTGTCGCGCCACCTGCTCATTGTGAAGAACGTGCAAGACATGGATCTGGGTATGTACGAGTGCAAGGCTGAGAACAAGGTGGGTGTGAAGAGTGCCATCATCGAGCTCACGGGTCGCCCGATGCCGTCCGTGTTCAAACAGTCGCCCGTCGCCGCCTCGCCCATGACACACAGCCTCATCTGGCAGACTGAGTCGCTGTCGCCGCTGGCGGAGTACAAGCTGCGCTTCCGCCAGGTGCCCACCGGCAACGTCACGCCGCACTCCCGCCTGCCGCCGCGCGACTGGACGGAGCTCACGATCCCCGGCCAGTACTCCGACGGACCCATCCACACCAGCAGCTACGAACTGCGTGGCCTCTCGCCGGCCAGCGTCTACGAGGTCGTGGTGGCCGCGCGCAATCGCTACGGCTGGAGCGACGCCAGTAAGGTGATGCGCTTCGCAACAGCGGGCGAGAGTGAGTACCCTGATTTTTGTTCCTCTATTGCGCCTCTTTGGAGTTAAAAAATATCAACTTTAAATTGCATCTAAACCACAGAAACTAAACATCAACTTTTTTCCAGTTGAAGAGGCAACAAATGTGTCCACGGAATCTGTGGATTACAATCAAATTGATGACAATTTCATTCCCGACATGAATTCATCAGGCAATTATGATTATTCAACATCGGGAAGTGAGCTGCAAAAAGTCACCGTCACAGTGTTCGTTACCTGTTTTCTCTTCCAATGGAAAGGTATGCAAATGACCACGAATGATAATTAAATTAATGTTCTCAAATTTAATCATGATCTGATTCATCAATTAAGTCGTAAAAACAGTCTTCAGTGGAATCATCGGGACAAAGTATGAGATCATCGATGCGTTCTCGTTCCATTTCTTGAATGCGCCTAAAGAACTCCATCTTCGCGTGAAGAATTGCGTGAAGTTCGCGTCTTCGTGACGGTTCTTGCAGCGTGAATCTCTCTATTAAGGCCACATTGAAGGCTTCCAGATGTTTGCCATCGTCTTCTAGAGTGGAAGATACTGCAAAATGGGTACATTTTTAGGATTTGTTCAGCAAAATGAGCCACTTTTCACTCACTTGAATGCACTGAGAGACCATAATATCGCCAAGAGAACGTCCTAAACCTCATCCTGTGAATCAAGTGATGATTAACAGCCTCAACAGGTGGATGGAAAGTGCTCAGGATGACGTCGGAAGTGTTGAGTTCCTCCTCTTTGAGAATGGCAATTGTATCGATGAATTGCCTCATGCTGACACTCTTGCTCTTCTTCAGCAGAGTGTGTCGCTCCTTAATCTTATAGCATGTCTTTCCCGTCTCTGGACTCTTGAGTCTGATCGTGTCGTCCGTGCTCTTCACGTCGACGTGCTGCAGATTGTAGAAGGAGTGGAAGATGTGACGCAGCGCGTGCGATTTTGGACACTTTCGCGGCAATATGACTATGAGACCGCGCTGGAAGAGCTGCAGGATGACCTTCACCTTGAGTCCTTCGGTGTATTCGCGCGCTTGGAATTCCCCGCGAGACACGCAATGGCCGATGAGGGCGAGATTTGCCTCAGAGTTTTCAATGTCCAACGCCTCAGCGGACAAATCGCAGCGACTGATGAAGGCACTGAGTGCCTCAAGGGACTTCTGGATCAGATGCAAACCCGCGAGATCCTCCACGGACGAGCAAACTTCACAGAGAGACAAGAGAGTCTTTTTGTAGTAGTGCAACTGATTGGCTGGCGCTGTGTAAGCATCGAGTCCCAGAATTTCTGCATGCCCCAGACACTCACTCTGCAAACACACGAGAAAACCCAACATTAAATGGGTTAGGAAGAGGCTAGAATGGAATGACGATTGTATACAGTTACCATGAAGGCATCAAACTCATGCTGAACTTCCTGACGCTGCAGTGGATTCAGCAGCCAGTGCTTGATGTAAATGTCCAGGTCGTTCTCACTCATCCAATCGAGGAAGATTCGTCCAACATCAACGGCGCTCTCGCAGTCGTGCAGGAGTTCACAGAAGTCGCGATGGAGATCGAGGAGGTGCTCAAAGAAGAAGAAAATCTTCCTCTCCTGACCGCAAAGCTTCCGCAAGCGAGTCAAGCTGACAGGCGAGAAGTGATGTGGATCGAGGGCGAGCGTGAAGCACTTCTTGTAGTCAATCACGAGCGTTTGCAGCATCTTCACGTATCTTTCTTCGCGATTAGTGAGATCGCAGATTTTATAGAACGTCCGACTGTTTTTGATTGAAATTAAGAAAAAAAATCTGTGCATGAATTCCGTTCATAGCTTATTAATATGCTGTTAAGATTGCAAATGAATCGATATAATCACAAGCAATTACAGAGTAATTCTATTGTTGGTTTTATCTATAATTTCGATAAGAATTCATTAAATTTCACTCAGTCAAATTTTTTTGAACTTATTTGCTTTGTCAAATTCAATATCGTGATTCGGAGAACAAATTTATAACTAACTTAGCGACAAGGAGGAAATAATTATGGCTAAAATCACCTAAACTTTATAAACTGTTTACTCATTAATTTTCAAGTCAGATAGACACTTTTGGAGCTTAAACCTGTCTAAAATTATAGTCACATAACATAGAAAAGCTATAGAAAGAACTTTCTCTAAGATAAGAAATTCTAGAAAATCAGCGAATTACGCTATTTTCCTATTCCTTAAACCATGTCTTAACCATGATATCTCCCCCTTGCTTAGCAACGTCTTTGCGTGTACTTCTCGTTTATACCTACCAAGATGCATTGTGCTCTAACTCACTCTGCAAGCTGGACATCGATGCCACGCCGCTGTCTCGATTGGAACGAGTGCCATTTCTTACGTGTTTCCGGAACATTTTCTCCCTTCGCCACAGAGCATTCCTTTGGAATGTTCACTTCTTATCAATGTTCGCACACCATCACAGAAAACGCTTAGATATCACACACGTCAACTATTTTGCATAGCACGGAAAAGGTGGTCAATCAAGCATCTTTTTATCACTGCTTTGCAGGAAATCTCGCGGGATTCTGCGTGCGAATTGAGATGGGAGAAGAGGTCGAAAAGAGCAGAGAAAGTCCACTGTTTGGTGAGTAATGTTCTAGCGCGAGTGTCGAATCGATACGACCGCTTTATCGACACTTTTGCACCCAACTGAGAAGCTAATAACTCCGCGCTGTCGCGATAAGAGTGGAGAAAATCTGATAGGCACACTCTGCAAAAGCTACTCTTTGCTAATTTGTGATATTATATTTTCGTGGAATTTCAAGTATTTCATTACGCAAAAGCTCTAAGACAAGTTCACACTTGCAACGATCGCTCTAGCCTAGAGTTGGGGCTCTAAGGAAGAAAAACTCCAATCACAATTATTCTGATAATAGGTTTGTATTTTATTAAACATAAAATATAGCCATTAGGTAAAAATGCCTTCTTTACAACAAAGATAATAATGACGGAAGAAAGATTACATTCATACTGTTTATTTTGCAGATTGCGCGTCTGTTTTTTTTGTATTATTAAGGGGAAAAATGTAATTGTTATGTTATAATTAATTAATAACATTACTTCTATCATAGATCTGCGTAATTCCTAATAAATAGACACTAATTCGTTGCAATAGAGATTCCTCATTCCACCAATTTAATAATACATAAGCGTCTACTCTCGCCTGTCTCTCTGCTGCACCTGAGCCATCGTGATGTATTGCCGCACGAGGCGTGAAATCTCATGTGCCTGCTCAGTCTGCACGCGGATGACACGCTGCTGCATCAGATTGCCCACTTTCATATCCAGGAACAGCGCTCCATCCTCAGATCGCACCTGTGGAGAGCACAAAACATGCTTAGATATCAGAATTATAGGAAAGGCTTACTGAAGCCAAACAAAGAGCGAGTTTAGCAACTCAGTCTGTGTCATCCCAGGTGAGAAATCTTTCCAAATAATATGCAAATTCCTTACCTTCCGCGTGGAGATGACTTCTGTGAAGGGATAATGCTGCATTGTCTCGTGACTGTTAGGATCCAGGAACAAGACACCTTTGCGATTCAGCGCCAGAATCAATTCTCGCCACATCGATGAGGAATCCTCAAGCTGACCACCGTCATCTGTCCACACGCGCTTCACGGCGAAGAAACTGCTGCCGAAGAGCGGCCACGTGGCGAGCACGGCCAGGAACTGCGCCTTCACCTGGCCCGGACTCAGTGGCGCCACGGACGGCCAGGATGACTGCACGAGCGCCACCCACTGTGCTGGACGCAGCTCACGGATGCCCAGCGCCGGCTTTGGCAGCAGGAATTTGATCTCCTTCATCGTCGGCACGTGACTCAAGTCCGCGGCGCGATGAAGCAGTGACGCCACGCGCGCCATGTCGCGCACCACGTCCGGCGGCGGCGCTCCACCGCCAGGCAACTCCAGCAGCAAGCCCTCGAGATAGTCAGGCGCCACCTGATTGAACAGAACCTCCACGTAGAGCGGCGTCGGCACGGGATCGCGCTTCAGCGGGAAGTGCCAGACGCTGCGGCAGAAGATGAGATAGAACGGCTGTCCGGACTTGAGCAGCTCCGTCGTCACGTCCAGGATATACTCATCTGCCGCCAGAGGCATCGTGAAGGCGTCTCCTTGGACGATGCAGTACAGCGAGAATTCCTGCTGCTCAGCGCCACTGTCAATGCCCAGGAGTGAGCACAGTTCAGCAATCACGTCCGCAACAACAGTGGAACAGCGCGTGTTCACAACACGCTCAGCTCCACCAGGAAGACGATAGATCTGTCGACGCGCGGATCTGCAAAACAATAATAATCTCATTAGATTGCGCATATCAATTGGTTAATCTTCAAGGCTTTCAAATGCCTGTCAGCTGGCCGTTCTTGTGGTTTTCATTTCGATCAAACTACAGAACAATCATCACGCGAGCGAACATCTTGTTACAATCAACGGGGATCAAGAGAACTCACCTTCCGGCTGAGACAGCGGTGACTTCCTCAACGCTTGGCACATTTTTGCGTCCTCCGCAGCGAGCTGTCTTCCGCAGATTCGTCAGACAAACAGCCGCCGTTCCGTGACAAGAACGCCGTCGATCGGACGCCGCCACCGACAAATGCTCCATCAAATACGGACGCAGGGCGTCTGAGCACCCAAAGTACGCCGCCAGGATGCTGAGAAGGCGCCAAGCTCGCTGCACTGACTCTGGATTTGGCGAACGATTCAGTGTCGTTTGCTTCATCAGTTGACAATAGACCTCATCACGCAGTGTAAGATGTTTGTGGCAATGCTGAGAAGATAAATTTGCATGAAGAATTTACCAAAAACCATCTCAAAGTGCACGCAATTTCTCGAGTTCCACACTAAGTTGAATTGATTGAATATGGAAAGTACTGTGAAATAATCAGATGGCCGTTCTTGGAATTTTCATGTGAAAAATTCAATTGACGAACATTCATCACTAAATGCCTAAAGGAAGTGATTCTGCTTGGGTTGGATTTGTTGGAGTGAAAGACTCACCATGAGAATCGTGTAGACGCATTGAACTTCCGTGAGATCGGGATCCGAGGGAAGATCTCCGCAGTAGCGAAGGATGCATTCGAAGCACTCGAGCGCCAGCATTGCCAAGTCCGACGGGAGACGCAACAGAGGTGTCTTCAGAGCAGTCGCTTGCCATCTCACGAGATCCAATTGTGGCCTCGAGCCACTCGACGATCTCTTCTCGCCACGCGTCACAATCGGCGCAATTTTGGCATCGTCATTCTGGACACTGCAAATGCAAGAAAAGAGCACAAAGTTATTGGGAGAGAGTCATTTTAGTGCAATATTATTCACTTCAATTCCCCATCTTTCACTGCAAACTCCATTCTGTCGGCGTCACAATTGTAAGAAGCGAACCGATTTGCCTTTTATGCTTGTCTATGACTAAAACTGCACTGAACACGGTAAGAAATCCGCAACCATGACGAAGTGAAAGATGAAAACCTCAAAATGCATTATGTTTTGTTTCTTTTTGGGTGTGCAAAAACTCACAGATCAACTTAGAGACAGACAAAATTACAATATTGTGTGTATAGAAATACATTTCGCTACAATAGCGCGAGATCATCAAATATCTCGCGGTTTTAGTAAGAGTAGCACACACAAAATGAGATCATTTTGATAAAAAAAAAACACGCGGAGGAAAATATGAATCGGTAAATTATTGTGAGGCAAAAAAATCGGGCCATTGAATGTTAACCACTCTTCGGCGCAGTAAATTGCTCACTTCCAGCAACAGTGCGCGAGTGCAAATCTCGAAAACTCCCTAATCAACAGCACAAGTGCGGAGAAAATTCAACTAACCGTCCACTGGAAGACGTGTTAACAATACGCAGAGAGAGAGAGAAGCGATCATGATCTTCAGGCCGTAATTGATTGTGGTTGAGATGAGAAGAAAAAAAAAACATGAAATGTCTGAAAATTTCTGTTCCACATGAAAAATCGTCTCATATTTTGAGCTTTTCTCCAGTTTCCTCACTCACACTTTTCGCGCCATTTCTTGCACAAATTTCCTCTCCGCGCACAAGTGGAACCACACAATGTGCAAAATTCGCTGCACTTTTTTTTTAATCAATGCAAAATGCACTTTTTCCACGTGAGATTTGCCATTTTTTTTCTACCTGTTTGCTGTAATAACAGGAATTTCTTGGCGAAAAAAGCCAAGAGCAAGTGTGTAACTTTCTAAAAATCATATGTCATACATTTTATCTGTGCATTAGTATTCAGATATGCAGGAGAAATATTAAATCCACATGAGTTGAGATTAGGAAATTGACATTTCTCACATTCCAACTCAACAAATGATCTCTCTTTTCACGAGAAACTGATCGCCGATCTTATTTTCCTTTTGACTTCAGTCTCTGTTTTATTGCGCCAGAAGAATGTGAAGACATCATTTGTGATTTAAGAAACGGTGATTTGGGTATAATATATCGTGATTACATTAGAGAAGAGCGGAGTTTGAACACGTTTAACTTCCCATTTACATTGCTTATATTGATGGAACATATAAGAAATATTTTCATCAATTTCTCGGGTTGAATGGGTTCAATAAAAGAAGATTTATCTCCATATTTCTTATATGAAAATGGCTTTAAGAACAATAATTAAAATATCCTATCATTTTTGAATTTGTAATATGCCAAGAAAAGGTTTTTCCATTATCACTAATTAGAATGTTTCTGTTCTATAAAATATTTTATGATTTCAATGTTGTGTGAAACTGAAAATCCTATTTTCACCTTAATAAGGAGAAAAAGAACAATGTTTATCTTCTTAAATACACGAAAACATATTAAATAACAATGTCAATGTTTTGCGTAGCCCCACTCTCCCCTAAACAACATAGGAATTCTGCAAAATAACAGCACATTCATCAAGTTAAATGAGAAATACCACTAAAATGACTGATTTCAGCGGCAAATGTACGATTTCTGTGTGAATTGATTGACCTCTTAATTGCCTAATCAGTTAATTATGTTGCGCATAACGACAATCAGTGGACTTTCTTGCAATCTCAATTCACCCGAACATTTTAGTAATGAAATCTATTGTCAACAGTGTTTACTCACTCATTGCGGAAATGCTGAGCTGCGAATTGCAGAAGGGAATATTTCGCTGATCCTGCGGAGACGCCATTCATCGGAACGGCGTCGTCGTCTCTCATCTGTTGCTGCATCAGCACGTCCTGATGGTTGATGGACGTCTTGTGGTGTCCGGGCGATGAGAGCTTGCGCCCATTGTGTATAGGCTGCGTTTGCTCAGTCACGTCGTGATCCTCATGACGCTGCTGTCCTGCAGACGGAGAAGTTGCTTGGCGTCGAACCATCATCGCCTCCTGATGATGATGACGCTCAGTGTGACTTGCATTCAAAGTCGCGGCCGCCGCTCGAGCTCCTGAAGACAACGTTGATGTCTTCGAGTGAATCTGCAAATTATAACAAAAGAGTTGACGTTATATGATTGTAAAAGAGGGTAAAAAATCAGCTTCTTAACACTTTGGCGCTCAGTATTATTAGACAAATTAAGGGCAAAATGAAGACTGAAAACTTCAGTGTTAAAGTTATTAATTGGCTGTCAGTGGATTATTTCTTGGTTTTCAAAGAGATTCTTATAAAAATCACTTTCTAAAACTGCAGAAAAAGTTGAAGTTACGCACAATTTCAGAGCACATTTACATATCTCTACAATGTGCGTCTGTAACTTGGTCTGCAACAATGCTTCAATGTTAAAACATCCCACATGTGACGCAGAATTGCTCTTTTAGTCAGACTAATGCTCTAATTGAGTTTTCATAGCATTTAGCTAAAGGAGGGGCGACTTCGCGGTCGAGAAACTCTGTGTTGGTCCAAAGTGAGATACGCGCGCCAGTAGAAAGTTGTGTGAAAGATGTTTTTGTACCAAAGATGGCCACACTCTGGCTACTTTTCGGTCACTTTCTTCGATAGCTGAACCTTGCATCTCTTGCACCGCGAGCATTGCAAAATGCGAAGACAAACTACACGTGAGATTGGAAAAAATGAGCATTTCTTGCAATTCATCTATCTCCTTAGTTTGCAGACAAAAACAACCCGCGATACGCTCGTGTCCAACCTAAACTGACTTTCACTCAACACTTTATGTGACTCCAAGTATCTTCTCTAACCTCAGCCGATTCTCTCAGTGTCTCGAAGCGTGCCAGAATCTCCTTGACAGAGACTTTCGGCTCAATTGGCTCCTCAATTATCGTCTCCATGCGACCAACTGAACCCGAACTGGTGATGCTCGATCGACGATTCTTCGCCACAGATGAATTGCTCGATATTGACGAAATTGTTCCGTTGACTTGCGCCGGAACAAATGCAATTGGATCTTCTTTGGCCTCTTCGCATCTACTTTTATGCCTCTTTAGTGACGACTTGTGAATAAATTCATCCATCGAGCGAACACTCGCGCATTCATTCTCATGCAATTGACTTGATTTCTCAAGGTAAGCCTTTATCACGGGCTCCCGCGGAATCTCCAGCTTCTCCATCATGTCCTCGAAGCCATTTCTCCTCAGGTGCACCTGTGCCGTCGTCGTGCCCGTGAGTTGCTCAATTTCCGGCGACGAGTCCGTGTCACAAATGCCATCGTCACTCGAACTGTCGCCTTCCAGTGAATTCACAAGACTGTCCAGAGACGCTGGACGGGGAAAAAGATGGGATTTGTGCGCAAATCCCAACTCAGCGTCCTCACAATTGTCCTGAGCCACTGGACTTGGCGTGGGAATGGAGTCATAGCACTTGTACGTGTTCTTCGGATCTCTCAGACGCATTGGTGAATTTGACTTTTGCTCCATCGAAAGCATCTTCTTCTATATTCACGACACAAATATTCCAGTCACTCTATATTCACACTGAAATCCAATTCAACATCTGTTACAGTAACGCTTTGCTTTCTCCCATATTTCGCACTGTTGCAGTCGAATCTCTAAGCAATATAGCTTCAGCACCATTGAGAAACACACGAGTGTCTTGAGAGGTTCTTCACCACAAAATTATACAAAATTGCTACTCTTCTGAAGAGCAATAACACAAAAGTCCTCTATTTTATTGAATAGATAGAAAAAAAACACTATAGAGGAAAACCTCTTAATGAGCAATTCACCAAAGAAGAACCGGTTCAACCTCGATGATCTCAAGTTGAATTGATTCGCAAAGAAATTTCACGATGTTTGCAGATCAACAGCGCAAGAGCCACTGACTCCCAATGCCTGCCAGCCATCGTGCCATTGACCAAAAGCTAGCTTTTCTCTTTCTCTCTCGCCGCTTTTCTCCACGTCCGGATCGATTCCCCTCCGCAATTTGCACTCAATACCAGACACTCTTGTTCCGATAATATGTTATGCATCTTCACCAAGGCGGAGATAATGTGGCTAAGATCTGCACGAGACTTCTGGGCAGTGTTTAAAGTCCACTCCAACATTTTTAACACTTTCTTTGAAATGCTAATACGATTCATTCTCAAGTTATCGCCATAGAATAAATTAAAATCTCAACTTCTAAAGTCACTTTAGGACAATCGTAGAACAATTTTCAGTTCAAACTCTTGAAAAGAACTCAACATTTGTCACTTAATACTTCTCCTCAAAATGCTAATTTTCAGTGCCAATTGCAAATTTTCGATTCACTCGTGGCGAAAACTTGATACTGATTTTTTTTTACCCCTGCGATTGATCAAAAAACTCTCCGTTAGACATACATATTTCCACCTTATCTTCTCCTCTGCGAGGCAACGAGGCATCTTTACAGTGTATACCGCGGATTGTGGGTCAGTGTGAAGAAGTACGTTATGTATAAAGCAGCACTGTTGATCTCAAAACGTACTTTTTCTCTCTCAACAAACTCCTCTACTTTTCTTGAAGTAAGACAAAATTCACAAAGAGAGGCCTTTATATGGCCAAATAAATATGCTTAAGAGAGTGTGGATAATGTTGAAAAAGTAGCATTTCTTAACACTCCTTTATACCATCAAGACATCTCACAAAACCAATGTACTTAAGGAACTGTAAAAGAAGCACTATTGGTTTTATTGATTGCGACTCTCTGCCGTCTTTCTTATCTCTCTCTCTGTCTCTCTTCTTCACAGAAGCACTTTTCTAAGTGTAATGAAGACAAATGATACACTTTATATTTCTTTATGATTTCCCCAGATTGTAGATTTCCAAATTTTGTATAGGCATTTTCACTTCTATTCACTCCAACTCTACAGCACAGTGATGCTCGTATTTGGAGCAAAACATTTGATTATTCTTATGTTACTAACTCACTTTAGGATAAAAATGATTCCCGCATGAAAATTTATTTACATTGTGTCTCACTCTTTCCAAAAACACTTCCCTTCCTCTTAATGTGATTCACACATTATAAAAAATCGTGCTAATGAGATAACATTGCCCAAAAAAACATACACTCGTGAGACATTTTTGTTGCCCAAAATGTTTTCATATACGCAAACAGACCGACAGGAAAACTGTACAAATTTTGAGCTTCTGGTTGTACGCTTACAATATTCATCTGCCATAATGAATTCTTGTGCAACAATAATGTGAATAATTTCATCGATATTACACGCTCAAGCAACTGAAGGCGAAATAAATGCATTTGTTACACAAGATTTTGCCTCTATCGAACCTTCTGTTATAGTTTTTTTTTCTCTTCTCTCGTCTGATGTTGCATAAAATCACAATACAAACACACCTTTTTTCAATTCTTGCAGATTAACGATGAGAGAAATTGATCCAAATGCGTAAGCTTGGCCATTTTTCTTCCTCATTTGTTATGGACATTTTATGCAACAACATCCAATTTCCGCACTTTTCCACCCAAGGCTTCCTCATCATTCTTATTCATCTCCCATCACCATGTATTTGATGGAAAATCTCTGGTAGGAAAATTGAGTCTTTCACAAACATGAGTGTGTTTTCTTATACATCGAAAAAACTTCCAATTTTGAGCGTTTTTTTTTCTATCAAGGTGCGTTGTGATCATCAAGCGATAAATTGCGAGCAATCATTAAAAATATACTCTTAACTCATAAGAAAATCATTGAGACTTTCCGCGTACTAAAATCAGTGAAAGTTTTTTCTTCCTTATTTCAGCCTAATTATTACTGCAGAATTATTATTGGTGAAATTGTTTTCATTTTTATAAGCAATATGGACACTGAATCGTGACATTTATAGCAACACGTGAAGTTAATTCAGTCATTTAACCTTCACTTGGCACACAAATAATAATAATGACACAAGAATTCATTGGTAAAAGACAGAATTGTTCAAATTCAAAGGGGTAAAAAACACTCACCATCTTGTATTCCTGACAGAATGTCTGCACCATGCTCTGGATGGCTGACGCCCTGGGCGCGTGCACAGTGACCCGCGTGCCGCTCCTGAGCGTGAGCTGAAGCGCAGCCGGACGCGGCAGAGTCGTAGCGCCCTGGAGTTCAGCGAAGGGCACAGAGCGGATCACGATGAGATGCTCAGAGTTGCGCCGCGCCAGATACACGCCACTGTGCGACACGGCTAGGATGCTGACCTCCGGCAGCTGTGACGATCCGCTCACCGTGAACAGGCGCGCGAAATAGAACGGCCAGTTGCGCGCCAAGTCCACCAAGTGACGCTTCACAATGGCACGCACCTGGCCGGACATGTTCTCCAGCGTCACGCCGTGTCCTTCCAGTAGATTCAGCGCCGCCCGCCGATCGGCCGGTGCAATTCGCAACGACGCCGTGCGCCCAAATACATCGGTAGCAATCTGCGCGAAGAGCAGATCCAGCGACGCCGGCGGCCCGAGCGCCTCGCCGGGACGGAAGACTTCCTTGCGCACGCGCAACTTCCATGGCACGCGATTGTACGTGAGACACGCAGTCGCTGGCGTCTTGAAGGACGGCGGCGCCGGCACAGGAGCCGGAATTGCCGGCATTGGCCAATCGTCAATCACCATCTCCGATTCGTCCATCTTGTCCGTGTTCGTGGACACCAGCGTGGACGCAGAGCTCTTGCGCTCACGCTCCTGCGCACTTTTCTGCGCCATGTGCGTCTTGAAAGTCGCCCTCTCGGCCGGCGCGCGCATTCTGTCCTTCTCTGGCGCTATGCTCTTGGGCAGAATCGGCTGATATACCTTGTTGCTCTCCCGCTCGCGCTCCACCTGACGAATCTCATACAGGCGCTCGCGCTTCTCGCGATCCTTCTCCCGCTCGCGATCGCTTCCACTTGACGGCGGACCCTCGACCTCCGCCCGATCCCATACGGCCTCGCTGAAATTCTCGCGATCCCGCGACCTCGATCGCGACCGCGATCTCTCTCTATCCATCGAGATGTCCTGCTTGAAGCCTGGCGAGAGGAGACAACAAAGCATTATTGCGTATGATTTCATGTGGCGATTCAGCGTTCAAATTACTCACTGTTGTCATAGACCATGTCAAGTTTGGCCGCTTCTGCATTTCCCCACGAGTCGCACGTGTCCTTACCGGTATCGCTGGCATTCCATGCCGGACGAGCGCCGAAAGTGTCGCGCTCCTGGCGCTGCATGAAGGCCGGCAGTTCGTTCACTGCCGAGTCGCCGCGCTGCTGCAATTGCTGTGGCACCACCGGAGCCGGTGGTGGTGGAACTGGCGGCACGCTGTTCGGCGGCCTTATTGGCGGCGGTGGCGCCGGACCAGGAGGAGCCGGCGGTAGAACCTGCACAAAAACAAGAAGTTAATTATCACTCATCGCATTATTATTCGGCATCTTCAATGCGCACCACTGGCCATGGAGGCGGCGTTGGCCGCTTGCCGAGCTCCATACGTTGTACTTGACTTCTCACCGACGGTATCTCTGGACTCTGGAACATGCCGCTGCCACCCAGCTGCTGCTCCAGCATCATTCGGCGCGCATCCTCCAGCTTCGCCGGCGCCCTCTCGGGTCTGTCAGAGCGCGTGCTGTTGGACGATCGCACCGAATGCCCAGCAGTGACTTGCTCCAGTCGCTGCCGCATCTCCGAGCTCAGTTTCAGCTTCCCCACGCTGCCCGGCGGAGGGCGCTCCGCCCCAATCTCAAAACTCCTGCGCTGCTGCACGGCCTTCATCGGCACACTCTGATGATTCACCTGCTGCTGCTGCTGCTGCTCCAGCGATGCTGTGGAGTCCTTGGCCTTCTTCATCACGTGATCCACCTCAAACTCCTCCCATTCAACGGCGCTGGGATCGTTGGGCGAGTCCCCAGACTGATTGTGGGCATGCGGACTCGTCTTGCGCTGGTTCTGGCGCATCTTGAAGTGCAAGAAGTTCTCGTCAGTTTCATTCATGGGTGTGTCTTGAGGTGGCGGCCAGCGCCACTTGCCGATGCGGACAGTCTTAGCGCGCCCATAGGGATCAATGAAAGGCCTGGCCTCGGACGGATCCTTGAACTCCAGCGGAGGCGGCATGGGCGGCGGTGGAGGCGGCGGAATAAGTGATCCGCCGCTCTCGGACGAAATCTTGCGATTGCGCAACATGTCGAGGAAGGGCGATGACGAGGAGCGCCCCTTGAAGCTGGGCTTCCTGCCAGATGGCGACGCTGGGGTAGTCTCTTGCTGCCTCAGCAGACTCTGCAGCGCCTGATTCTGCTCCATGAGTTGCTGTTGAATCTGCAGATTCTGCGCCATTGCCGACTCGAGGAAGGCGCGTTGCACTTGATGCTGATACACGAGCGAACCGTCGCCAGCCGGACGCACGGCGCCGCCAAAGCCATTCGCCTGGCCCTGCGCCGTTCCGCCACCCTTGATCGCCTCCACGAGTTCCGCCTTCTCCGTGAGATGCCGCAAGGAATCGTTTATGAAGATGGGCTGGAAGAGGTTCGTGATGTAGTCATCCACTGATATCTCCAGTTGATCCGTGATGGACGCCACCTCAGCGTCGGGATCTTGCGACTGGGCAGCCTTTTCACCGCCCCCTTTAATGTGGCTCATGAGCTGAGCTGCACTGCAGAGCTCGGCGATGTCGGCATCCATGAGGTCAGCATTTGCAAAGGCGTCGAATTCCTCTCCGCCGCCGCCGCGGATGCTGGCCGCCAGAGAGCGAGCGTCAGACAACTCATCCAGCGACCCATCGAGTACCGGACTGAAGAGCTCGTCCAGGAACTGATCGACATCCGAGGCCTGCGAGGGCACTCTCACACGTCTTACGTGGCTCGCGAGCGAAGGCGCCTCGCTGGTGTCCGACATGGCTGACGATCTGATCCCGTACTCTGCTCTGTCGATGTACTTGCTCGAGTGCGAGCTAGCAGAGCGCTTGCCGGCGTATTGGGACTTCTGGTAGCGCGGCGGCGGATCTTGAGCCTGCTTGGTCGGCGCCAGACGCTCAGTGGAGTGATATCGATCGTTCAGGCGACTCTCAGACAATCCCAGAGTCGTCAGCGGTTCAGGACTTGGACGCGAGACAATTTCCACCGACTCGCCGGCGAGAAGATCATCCAGAGACCGTGATCGTGTCTTCTCCACTTCGAAGTATCGCTCATTGAGGGCCGAACTGCGCGACAGCAGATCATGGGAAGTCTTCCGCGCCACACTCTCGAACGGCCGATAGTCTACTTTGCGCTCCTCACGCTCAATCTTCTTCTCCACGACATTCTCCTGCACACTTGCCGCCCGTGGCGGCTCAGGCGGTGGCACTTGAGGCCTTCGCGGACTACTCAATTCAATGTCTGACACCACAACTTGGGAATTCTTCCGGCCGCAGCGCATCAAGTCACTGCGCACAGCCGGAAAAGCCGGACAAAGTTCCTTCTCCGCCACGAGATCCAGCACAAAGTCCAGCCCACAGGAATCTGTGATCAAACCCGTGTCATCCATCACGACCGTCCATCCGGAGCTGGGAATGCCCATTGATGACACCGCCAGTCCCGCTGCCTCTTCGCACGTCGTCCACGAGTCAATGGCCACGGTTTGCGTGACGCCATCGGGCAGAGTGAGGCCAATGGCGATGTCTGACATGCGCGACGTCGATCGCCACTCAAGCCAAGTCGGCGGAAATAGCCGGCAAGACGGCGCTTGCAAGCCATTACTATAGCGTAGAAGCTTCTTCAGCAGCATCTCTCGCATGGCGTCCGGGGCATTATCAATCACAAACTTGATCAGATACTTATTCAGCGCCGATCCGGGCTGGAAGCACGACAGACAGTGTGTCATCAGTTGCCAGATACGCTGCGCGTGAGTGGGATCCGTGCGATAGGATTGATTGCACAACTGCACAAGGATTTCATCCCTCAAGCCTCGGCTGGACAATCCCTTGTGCACAATGTAGTCCGCCAGGGTTTTCTCCTTTACGCCATCAATCGTCGAGTCCCCGGTCCAACGCAAAATAAGCTTGAACATGGCCAGAGCGTCCTGGAAGTCTTGATCACGAGCGGCGGCGCGCGACAGAAACGGCGTGTTGATGGGATCGCGTCGAGCACCAAGTCGTGCGCCATTGCAGTACACCGAACTGAACTTGCCAAAGGCGAATTGATCCAAATCTGAGGGCAGATTTCCCGTGGCTGGTGGTCCAGGAACAGTTCCCACCACCTTCACCAGATGCCGATCGCCGTGAACGGAACTCCAGCCCTCAATCTTCGAGAAGATGAACGCCAACTCTGCCGGCACGTCCAGGTGCACGACAGGACTCCTCTCGCTCTGCTCCTTCGCCAGGCGTTGCGCCATGCGCTCGCGCTGCGCCTTCTCGGCATCGCGCCGCCTCTTCATCTCCGTCTTCAACATACCATAGCGCTTCCGCTGCACCTTGCCACGATACAGCGCCTGAGCCTTCACTGTGGCCTCCTTGAGGTTCTGGAAGGATCTCTTCTGCCTCCTGCCGCGCCACACGGACTGAATCTTCACGGCCGCCCGCCGTTGACGTTGCAATCTCTTGCGCGCCAGCATTCCGCGCACGTGCTTCTGAACCACCACGGCGGCATTGCGGAGCCTCTCCGAGCGTCCACCTTCGAGGATGCGATGCAGATCCTCGCGCAGGAATACGCGCGTGGCTCCGAGCTGGAAGTCAGGGCCCTCGGTGGCGGTCTTCGGCAGTGCGTCCAGCACCATGCGGCACAGTTCGCGGTATGGCGTGCCCCTGGGAATAGGCGTCTTCAGCATGTGGCGATAGCGCTCGACGAAGTGCTGGAAGCGCAGGCGCACAGGATAGCCCTTCTGGCGGATACGGATGGTGTCGAGCATGCCGAGGTAGCGCAGCTGCTGCAGCACGCACGGCATGTCCATACGCAGCGCCTGTTTGTCATTGTTCGGCTTGATGCAGCGCACAAACCACGGATTGCATCGCGCCATCGATTGCAGCAGCTGCTGCAGCGAGTCCGAGAAGCGCGCCGCGACGGTTGGCGTGCGCGGTTTCATCGTCACGAAGCGTCCATTGGCACCGCGTGGCATCGATTTGCCAGCATCACGCTGCGCCCTCAGCATGCGCGTCATGTCCGCGATGAGTGGTTGCTTGCTGGACGACAGTAACTCCAGCAAATCCAGCGCCAGAGCATCGCGATTCTTCTCAAGAAAACCCTCCACGCAGTACCACACCTGGCCAGCATAGTGATTCACACCGAACTCCTGCGCACCAATTCGCGGTCGTGAGTACAACTCACTGAGGGCGTGATTATAGTGACACTTTTCCAGGAAGCTCAGATCCGTGGCACGTGGGAAGTTGGATTCGTCATCGAGGAGGTGAAAAATACCCACGGGTTTCTTGGCCATCAAGTGAATCACTGGCAAATTGTCCTCCCATGTGAGTGGCGTCCACTCGAGTCTTTCCCTCGCGTATTCCGCCTGTTCCAGCTTGAAGACGTGCTTGTTGAAGTACAAATGGAGATTCTCATTGGCATAATTGATGCACAGTTGCTCAAAGGAATTTTCCGCGAGATCCTCAAAGCCAAATATATCGAGAATCGATATTCGCTGGGCATCGTGAGTTCCACCCTTGTGCACAATTGAATTGATACGTGACACGAGCCAGCTGAAGAGGCCCGAATAGAGGGCCTTCGCGAAGGCATCTCTCACGTCTAGCGCCTGATCGATGCTCAATGGCGTGTGCAGGCGTTCAGCACGCGCTTCCGTAATACGCGTCGTGAGCGATCGCAGCAAACCCTCACTGGAGATCTGCAGCAGATGCGCTGACCACTTGATCTCCGCATCAGAGCCCACTTCCACGCCCTCCTGGCCATGGCGCAGCTGCCGCCGATGGAAGTAGATGTTTCCCAGATGCAGCACAGACGCCAGCACACGTACGATTCCCTCACGTTCACTCTCAGTCACGCCTAGCACCTGCATAGCGCCCTGCAGCGACTCCCAATCCACCCGGCCGGGCGCACAATCGGAGCCACCCTGATTGAGATAGAAGTACTTCTCCGCCTCCAGAAGCCCGTACTTCGTGCGCTCAGCATCCGAGAGGCCGCCGAGGAGTTCGTAGAAAACGTGGTAGTTCCTCTCGCCGGGCGCCTGAGTGACAATCCTTGACTTCTCCAGCAGGTACTGCGTGATCTTCGCACCCACAATGGCACCTTGCTTGAAGTACACCTCCAAGTACTTCCCAAAACGCGAACTGTTGTCATTCCGAGCCGTTCGCGCATTTCCGAACGCCTCCAGCAGCGGCGCCGCCTCGAGAATCTGTTCAGTGATGACAGCACTGGCAGATCCGCCGCCAGGCACAACTGCCGCTAGATATTGCATCACCAGCTTCGTGGACTCCGTCTTGCCAGCGCCAGATTCGCCAGAGATCACCACAACTTGCGGCGACGGCAGAGCAGCGTGAGCGGCCGCGCCGATGGCGAACAGATGAGGCGGAAGAGTGCCCAGAGGACGGCCGGCGTACTTCTTCGCCACCTCCAGTCCATAGGAGTCCGGGAACATCTTGTACGGATTCACGGCGATGAGAATGCTACCGGCGAACGTGTAGATCAGCCCATGATCGTAGCGCAGACGCAGATTCCACAGCAGAGACGCCTCGTGGAGATCATCCAGCTGTGTCATGTCATCCACACCGCTTCCGCCCAAGTCCTGGCGCGCCTGTAGATTGCCCTCGCCCAGAGACAACGTGAATGTCTGTGGCTGCGGAGAAGAGAGAAGAAACAAGTGTTAGTATTTGACTTTACTAAATACAATAGAAGTAACTATAATATTTGGCACCTAAATTTTAACAAGACTTCATTTATAAATAGAGGCAAGCTAACCAATCCTGAAAGTATTGGTGAAAACTACAAAAATTGGTTTCTCTTAGAAATAAACACATGCTAACATTCTGCGCTATGACGTCACTGCACAGGGACACTAATCTCCTGACCACTTGCGGATATCTTCCATGTCTTCGCCTCAACTTCTTAGCGCGAATCTCATCGTCACTGAGACGCTCAATGCACGCGATATCGTCAATGTTTGGGCGTCTCTGGCGACGCCAAACGCCAGAGCGCAGTGAGGACAGCGATGGCGAGGAACACGGCGTGGATGTCGCTGATCCACCCTTTTGCCATGGTTCCAAGTGAAATCTCACGATGCGCATCGTGCGCAGGACAGCAAAAAGCCACCCAGCAGAATGCGTTGAACACAGTCGCGAGAGGAAGTGACCAAGACTGCATCGCCAGAGTGAAACTCGAGAAAGACTGAAATATCTAGGCGAATATGTGCGTTCTGCGCTGACTGAAATTTCTCAATGTAATAATTCTCGTCCAGTGAAAATGTATGTTGCCATCCTACATACACCAATGGTTTTTCACATCCGATAACACCACACTTTATCTCCATCAATCTCTCATTCTCCTGCGCTTCTCTCTCTCTCTCTCTCTCAAACAGGCTTCTTTTTAGAGTATAATCTCACTGTAATTGAAAGTCGAGCACAAGAAAGCTCAACATGAACACCGTCGCGATCAGCGTGCTTTAGTATTTAAGCATAAGTACAGCTATTAATTGTAAACACAGCTAGTGTGGTATTGAATACAGTGAAATACAAAGAAGTTACTTGCACATATTAGGCACAGAGATTTATGAAAGTGCAGGGAAAACTGCATTCACTGACCATTCAGAGACTTTTCATCTGCCATTTCCATGACTTTTCTTTCTATTCACAATATCACCTTTTTTACGCTGAAGAAGAAAATAACATAAATCCAGTGGGTTTTTGCCTAAATCTAGGCGCGTATAATCACAAATTTGTTATGATTTTGTAATAACACCACAAAAAATTCGAGAGCAATTAACTTTCTTTATCTCCTAATGCCTAATTAATTAAAATCATCTTCCAGCCGAGTGAGATAATAAAATGCAATATATTGGCGGAAAGAGGCACTTTCTTTTTTTACGTTTCACCCACATTCTCGCCTTATCACATCCATAAATCATCGATGGAGTGCAAGCAAGATGATTTATTGATGTGAAAAATCATTTAATTCCACAAACGCCTCGTAAACCGCGATAAAGGCGTGAGATATGCTGCAAGAGAAGTGTGTGTGTTTTTTTGAGAACTCACCTTTCCATTGATAACCGCCTGAACTATTATTACTTGCGCTGCTCGATGGACTTCTTGGATTTCACCCGGCAACGGATGCCCGAGACCCGGATCAAACCACACAAGATCACCCTCGTTCCAATCCATACTTCCCCCAAATTCGATCTTGCGCACTCGTCTATGCGTTCCTCGCGACCACAACGAGACAATTTGCTGCCTTTCTCACAGTCACACTGTAATCCATCCACTATTCTTTGCGTATCTGCAAGTGAAGGAGAAAATAGCCATGAAGAATATGTTCATAACAGCCAACAGTGTCTGTTGTCTACGCTCACAAACATCACCACACAATGCTACACATTCAGGAAAATTGAGCTGATAAAAGAGACTCTCAATGTGAGGCATAAATTTACAGTGCGTGTCGACATTGAATTTTGCCCATTTTTTTACCATTTCGACTCTCATCTAAAGTGAACACATTTCAACTTCATTTTCTGCTCAATTTTTTCACCCTCTCACTTTATAAATGAAATATTTAGTTGTTTGCGCATAAGATCATGTTCATTTAACCCTTTCACGACGACTATTATGATTATATGATCCACACAGATTGAAAAACGAGGGAAAATAAAAAAGTATTCCCTGGTCTCAAATTGCTCATCAAATTGAGTATTTAGTTTATTTTCTTCAAAATCTAGGTCATATTTGTCCAATAGAATATTCTCACTATGGAAATCCTTCGACAAAGAAACGTAATTCTGCATTTCCTATTAAAATTCTGAGTATTGAGGAAAGTCAGGACCTCTTTTGGCTTGTCTCACTCAATTTCCTCCCGTCCTGCAAGGGTTAACTTCACAATTGTTAAGCAATTAATACCAAATTGCACATTACTCTGCAAATTCCACAGTCCATTCATGTTAAAGCATTGTATTTTAATGACAAGATGCGTTTGATTGACCATAAAGAGTGCTTTAGCTTCACTCCAACATTACACTTGACCTCACAATGTAAGTAAAATTGTTACACAACTGAATAATTTCCTTTTTCCACATTCGCAACACCCATTTTTTCTGCCTCTTTCACTCATGTGCACCAAGAATATCTCACACGTCTCTTTTTTTTTTTGCATGTCTAACCGTCTAAGAACACATTTGAAACATCACAGAAAATTAAGTATCAGGAATGTCTACTTCATGTGCAATTTAATATCCTCAATTGCCCAAGAATTCATCGGTGCTGTTCATCGAGGTGTGCAATAGAAAGAGAATTAGTGAGGAGAGAATTTTCTCTTTGCCACACGCGAAACTTCATCATCTTCAACATGAATTTTCCTCCAGCAAAAGCCACGTGAACATTTTATATCCATTTGTTAACATCAATACGTGGACAAAATCTGCCTTCTTTTATGATATCTTATGGTGCGCAATGTGCAAAAAGCACATTCTTAAGGATGATGTGCATATAAATTCAACTCTGTGACAGACAGCAACGATTTCACGGGGACAAAATACAGCTGTTAAAGATGTGAATGGGGGGAGAATGAAATAAAAATGCAGAGAATATCACGCATAACTGTACAGAAGAGCTCTAAAAATTCAAAGTAGCGACAAAAGTCCAATGGAGATTTGGCATAAATAAGCTCACAAGACAACAAGCTTTTGTGTGGGAATTCTGCTTCTCACCGCAATACATAAAATTAAAAGGTAATTCCTTAAGATAAAGACACTTTTCGCTTGAGAATTTAATATGTCACAGTTTTTCTTTCAACCATGTATGGTGCTTTCGTGATTTTCCATTTATCAGATCAATGAAGAGTTTTGTAAAACACAAGAAGATTGAAAGCTGAACGATTAACTACATTAACAGTTAGTCAACCTATTCAAATCTTGTCGATGCAATAATAATTACACATCTCCAATTGTCTGTAGAAGATAAGTTTGTTGAGATTTTACTTACACATGTTGATTAAACATAGCAGAATGAAAGTTTTATTGATAGTTTTTATGTCTGTTTGTGAGATATTCATGAATATATTTAGGATTTATTTAATTAATAAAGATTGAGAGAAGAGAAAACACGAGACATGAAAAACGCGTCTTCATTGCACCATCAAAGGAATGCACTTTTTCACTGTTATTTCTTCACTGAATATTCAATTCAGGTAAAATATTGAGAGAAGCATTGAAAAATTCATAAATTGCGCATAATAACGGGTAAGAAATCTTAAGCTTGTGACATTGCAAATTGACAAAATTTTACGTCTTCGGAAGAGACAAGCTCTCTGAACAATTCAAGGGAAATGAAAGTCATGATTTTAAGAGGATTTTGAGACTAGAGAAAACACAAATTCCTGCGGTAATTCAGCAAAACGCTGAAGCGAGGAGAAATTAAGTGTTAACTTGCAGTGAATATAAATTAGTGAACCTCATTATTATTGTTTGCTGTAATACTTTTGACGGATTTGTGAAGCTAGTATTGTCAATTCCACTGCTTATATACGGAAATGCTTGAATAAAGTGCCACTTTTATGGCCTGGCCATTGCCAGGAAGGTGTAAAAAAAAAAAGAACACTGCGAAGATTGCAGAAATATTTAGGCAGGGAGGGAGAGAGACAGAAGTTCACTCCAACTTTGAATGTCAATGATTAAATCCTTATGTTCATGTGTGAGGAATTTTTCACGGTGATGGAATTCTAATAATTTGTCGAACAAATCTCAGGCGTACCACATTTCTTCAGGTCATGAATATGCAAATTGTTTGGTGTGGTTGAAAAAAAATACACCATTAGCCATCAAGACAAAATACTTCACCAACACGCCGAAGAGCGTCTCATAGAAATATACACATTTCCAATATTACACTACAATTGAAGTCTTATTGACTGAATATTTGTAAGCCAACATTATGTGACCATCAGAAATTCCTCAGAGTTGCTGCAAAGGTGCTTTTGGAGAGAAGGCGCGAGATACTCAAAGAATTTCATTGCATAACACGAAAAAAAAAATCATACCGCGCCTTCTCTCAAATGTACCATTGCGTCGCATGTGAATTGAAACACACAAGAGCTCGGCAGAGTGCAGAAATTGTCTTCCAAACATCGCCTCTCGAGCAACATGTTGAGAGACACCACAGATTGTATGGATGTTCGGCATAGTTTATGATCTAACCCAACTAGATATGCGACACTATTGCCACAACTAAATTGTCTATTAATTCTCTACGAGAAACATTTCTGCCGTGAATTCCTGCTGTATACGAGAGAGCAGGTCTGCTTTTGACAGGACTTTAAGAATTTCAGCTGTTTCTTACAGAAAGTTCATTGGACGAAATGAATAAGTAAGGTTTTTTCTTGGAATTAGAAGACTAGACTGAAAAGTTCTTGCTCTAGAAAATCTTTGAATTGTCAGATTTTTGACTAGTTAAGCTACATTTTTGGACAGAATTAATTCTGTCAATTAAAGATACCAAATTAGATACCCGGATTTAGATAGGATTTAGATACTGGGCTTCCTAAACTTCTGATCAAAGTCATAACATTTTCAACCTTATCGCTTTTGTATAAAAATTGTTTACACAAAATTTTTATATGAAATACTATAAAATCAAATAGACCTTGATCTGAATTTAATGATTTTTACGAGAGTAATTATTATCATCTTTCACATTAAAATATAAGTTTGAAAATATTGAAATAATTTAGAAATTACGGAGAACTTTCTTTTATTTGTTTTTGAAATATTTCTCAGTTTAAATTCAATTTCATGATTCTCCTACTAAAAAAAAATTTGCAAGGTTCGCAGCTTTACGAATCGTTTAAATCTTTTAATAGCTTGTTGTTTGCATTTATAACTTTGCGTAAAGAATTAGTGTGAATTCCTGACTCTCTCTCTTTCCTTTTGGTTAAGGACATTAAATATCAACATTTCAACATCTTTTACGCACCATTTTTCACATCATTCATCATTCTCATTCTCTCTACACACACTGAACATCGCCAAAAACATAACATTTCAAGAATATGTGTGTACATCGTCATGAAGTTGAGTGGATATAATGCAAATGTGTTAAACGCCAACGTAACAATATTTTTGGAACATTTTTCACTGCGTGAAACTTCAACACATGGAGCTGAAGATCATTTGATCCACGGAAAAGTGTTCTCTTCTCTCCCTTCCACGCGATATCAAGCACAAAAAGATCGCCATGGGAAGAAGATCCGCACAAGAAATGATGGAAAATTAACACGTCATCAATGAGATTGTCTAGTGTAAAAGTTCTGGGCGATCACAGATTAATGCATGAGTGAAATCCTTCCCCAATTCTCTTGCAACTTTTCTCAGCCGGAGTTGCGATCAGGATGCTTCTGCGCTGGACTGAAGGAATCACCGTGAAACGGGCGACGATCGCGAGTCCAGCGGATGTGATGAAGGTGTGCGGGAAAGACGGTGAGTGAGTCTTGGAGAGAGAGAGATTGGAATTTCAAAATGGCTGCCACGACTCAATGACTGGGAATTGGGTGCGGATTCCACTGATTTCTTGCACTTGGCTCCAATCCACGGAGCACCGTCGATAAGAGATAATTTCCCCAATCAATCACAAAACTATCGCAATGCCTCTGTGATCTGTGTGTGTGAACTTAATGAGTGCAGAGCACACGAGGATCACACAATTTCATTCAGCATTCTTTGCATAGCAAAACCACTCCCTGAAAAGCCCCGTTTGCGGAATTGAGCCTCGCCATATCCAATTATTGTCTATAACACACTTTGTAGAACAAAACTTATAAAGCAGGTAAAACGCATTCACCTTCATTATATATGCATAACCACCAATATTCTCCACTTTGTCCTCAATCACGCACTGGAAGACACAAACATTAGAATGTTTTCAATAAAACACTTTCTGTGGAACAGAAAAAATGTCCCTTTAAGGTAAAATTGCAGATAAGATGTAGTATTTTAACAGAGGAGTAACAGGAAAAATTGCCAGCGAGACTAAAGTGATCTCAACTTGTTGAATTAGTCCGAGCAACTAACCAGACTTAGAGAGCTTCGGTGTGAGTGGAAGTGATCTGACGAGTGCGCATTCTTCGCCGTGAGACAGAGCGAGAGCGGTGGATTGCACAAGCATGAAAGAGCACGGCGTTTTACTCACACACACGGGCCAGGTAAAATGCCACCACAGGTATCAATCACCGTTACACCAGCTTCTCCAGGTGGGACATAAGCAACACACACGCGCCGAGCGATCGAAAAGCCACAGCGGCCGAAAGGAGGGGAAATCATTGCCGTTGCCATTGATGATGATCTTCCAGACGGTTTTGATCGTTTCAATTTAGAAAAGTCGAAGGCATGTTTTCAGCTGAAATAAAGCATGTTTGCATTCTGATCGCAGCTTTTGGCGAAATGGAAATCAATAAATTAACTCTAAATTCAGCTTTGGCCATAAAGAACCGTCGAGTGTTGACGAAATAGCATCCTAGAGGACTTATTTTTGCGTTTTACACTGTATTCTGAACTCACCCTGAATTCCTTCAGTGAAAGGATGCTTTCCTCCAGCCATGCAAACTGTTGCAAATCCGCCTGCTTATCTCGTCTCTTCTTACGGCAACTGATGACCTGCAATTTGTCGCACAATTTACTCAATTGGTTAATAAATTCATCGCCGGAAGTACTTGCAACGCATCCACAGATTTGGATTGCTCTCAAGCACATTATTTACCTTACAATTCTCCCGGTGAAACCAAAAAATCCATCTCTTGCGAACTGCTTTGAATCCTTCCGGGATAGTTGATGGCAATGCAAGCAGCTCCAGCTCATGTTGAGGCTCATCCTGATAAAAACCACGTGTTTCATGCGTGCTTCTAACCACCGCTTCTTGGCCGGGAAGATTGCTGCGAAGCTTCCCTGTTCTGCAAGAAAACATTGAATTACAGCGATGAGAGAATGAAATTTGGCAAAGTTAATAAACTCACGTCTTCTTTATTCCCTAGACGGTGCACAAAAATTTGAGGAAAACCCATTTCTGCAGCTGATTTCCACGCTTTTCCCACACTTCGCAATGCCTTGGCACATGCCGGAATTGTGGTTATGTCGGGTTCTTGCCTTTTTCGGGGCCTGTAATTTAGCATAAATCATGCTGAATCCCGGTGTTTGTATGTTGGCAGCAGTGGAATCTTGAAATCTCACGTGTGAATTTATAAACAAAGTTGAAATTCAGTGAATTTATTGGTAAAAATAATCAAATAGTGCTTTATTCCCCTTAAATATCGGATCAACCACAAAATGACCTCGCAATCTCGTGAGTTATTCCAATCGCTGAATAGAGAATGAATATTTACTAAGAGCAAGACTAAGAGTTTAACCATTGTTTTTTTCTGCAGATCTCATCTCTTGGCTCAATCGTCCTCATTTGAGGCCCATGGATTCCCTCAAACTGACCATAAAAGTGTGGAATTCGATTGATTTCATAAATCCTACGAAGTACGAGACACTCGTGAAGTACTTTTGCGAGAAATTGCCGGATTTGTGCCACCTTCCGGAAAATGCGGAGTCCGAAGAATTGTGGGCCAGCGTCCGGGAGTTTTGCCAGCTAAAAATTCCCGTTGGCGTGGTGACATTCCAGACGAAGAGCTTCCTCATTGACACACTGATTGTGTGTCTTAAAGCAGTAGATTTGAGGGTGTTTTCTGTCCTCAAGAGCACTTCTGACAATTCCAGTCTTGCCAGTTTCTTCAGCAGCAACATTTCGGCTTTTTGCCGGCTGCAGGCAAAGACTCTGGTCTCGTGGATGGCTGTGCTGGAGCAGACGCATCGTGAGGATGGCCTGAGTGAGGACGAGAAGCGAATCACGGCGGAATTGTTGAAGAAAATCCAGGAATTCTGCCAGCATCAAGCCAGCAATTCCGCCTTCCGGGAGATTTACCTGCGGGAACTTCACCAACAACTCACGGAATTGGTGATATATCTGCAGAAGAGACGCATGAATTGGAAGAGTGATTTTTTCGGCATGTTAAGAGGGGTGTTCTTCGGCGAAGACGCAACAAAATGGTACAGAGATCAGTTTGAGGCTCCTGAAGGAGCTCAAAACTTCCGTCACGATCGCCTTGTGTTTACCAAAGAATCTCTTCACGTCTGTCTGATGAATATTGAAGCGTTCTTCTCGGCTTTCCGCGGACAGAAGGAATTGTGCGTCAGCTTGGCTGACTTTCTATTCAGGAATGTCTTTGTGCCGGGCGAAATGGAGATTGAAAGCGTCGTTCTGGGCATCAGTCATGTCATGCTCCTCATGCGAAGCTACAACATCAAGCCTGAGGGCGAGAGAATCAAGAGGCGAATCCTGACAATTGTAGAGGAGTTTTCAGAGAGAAACACTCGAGACTGTTTGATGCTGATTTTGAGTGCTTTGCGACTGAATCCTGTGATCTTTGCGGATGATCTCTTGTCACTGCTCGTGAAGTTCCTCTTCTTGCCGAAGAATGAGTCGATTTTGAGCGTCTTCAGTCAATTCTTTGCTCTGTGCCTGGAAACATTTCACAAATTGGGGCGTTTCGAGAAGATGCTCGCCAAATTGCTAGACACAATCAATGTCAAGGCGATTTCCATGGATTTCCCGAAGAAGCTCAAGAGAAAGTTGAAGGATGACACTGAGATGTCAGCGAAGAGGCAGAAAATGAGTGAATCTGGAGCATTTCTTGAGCTTCTCTGTGAGAAACAGTCAGAAAATCGCCACAAAACACTAGTGAATTGGACGGAGATTTCATTCGCCTGGTCAGATGAGATTTCCTGGACATTCTCGAGGATAATTCTCACACTTCTACCCAATGCCAGCTTATCTGTGTGGAAGACGCTGATTTTCCATGCCCAGAACGCTCTCAACACTGCCAAGGACCGTAAATTTGATGAGAATTCACTGTTCTTCCTCGACTTTGCCTCCAAAATCATCTGCGCCTATCTTGAAGGGTGTCGCTTGCTGGAAAAGCCTGCCGATATTGCGAAGAAGATCGACGAGAGGAGACTTCTGATGAAGACTCTGTTCAAGTGTGTGGAACTTCCGGAAAGACCTCTGAGAGCTTGTCTGGAAATTTATCTTCAAATGCTTGACTTTGATGCCGCTCTGTTGGTTTATCGGCCAGATTCCCTTCCAGAAAATGACCAGGAAAGCTTCCAGAGAATTGAGTATTTGGATGAGGAAGCCTGGAAAGCGCTTCAGAACAGAATTACGGATGGAAACGTAAATGAATTGCTGAATTCTGCACAATTGAAGCTATTCAAGTTGAGTCAGATTGAGAGGACGTCCGAAAGCTTCTTCCCGCAGGACTTGCAAGATGAATTGTGGCTAATCAAGCAACTTTCGCGAGAGCAGAAGATCGTTCAGGCCCAGAAGATGACGGGAGATTTCGATTTGGAGGTGTTTGAAGACCAGGAATTCATGGAAATCTTCCTTTTGGATACTTTTCAAAGGATTTCTGATGAAATCCACAGCAAAAAGTTGCCTTTCTGCAAGATTGACTTCGGTGAATTGCTTCGCGGTGGGAATTTTGATGGACTCCCAGAGACAATTCTTTCATCCGTGAAGATAGTAAATCTCGAGGGGAAAATTAATCGTGTGGAGCTGCAGAAACTCCTGGCAAAATTGACAAATTTGCCTTTGGGATTTCTGGCTAAGGAAGCAAAGACTCAAACATTATTCTTCCTCCTAATTTTGCTTCATTCGCTCCAGGATTTTGAGGACTTGAAGGATATTTTGCTGCACATCTTGAGGAATCTGACAGAATTGGGCAACGAAGTGGACGTTTTTCGTCACATTTCCGTGCGAAAAACCATAGAAATGTTCCCAAATGCGGCAAAGCATAGAAAAATCTTTGAACTTCTCCTCAATGCGGCAACAAATTATCAGACTGAGGCGAATCTTGCCGCTTTGGCTGATTTGCTGCCCTTCCTTGAGGTCGAAAAGAAGCCAATTTGCAGGAATTTGTGCTTCATTGCGGTGCGAAACTTCTCACAATCGCGCAGATTTCACAAGTTTGAGAAGGAAATCCTGCAAATTGGATCGAAACTCACTTCAATGGCGCTGCAATTGTTCGAATGCGAGCAGGAAATTGATGGATTGCTGCCGGCTTTTACTGCCACACTCTCTGCTCTGTTCAGCAGCAAAGACAACAGTGCGAAAGTGCACGAGGACGCGGGCAGGATAGCGATGAGATTCATGTGTAAAGAAGACGGGGGAAATGCTCTGGATCTCTTGAAGATTGTCGTCGATCGCAGGGAATCTCTGGCCATATCTCGGGAGTCTCTCGCTCCGATTGTCCTGAGATTCTGGAAGGGAATGAAGATGTGTGAGAAGATGGCAAACATTCTCATGAGTCACTGCACGAATGAGGAATTTCAGGAGATTCTGCAGGCGCTGAAAGAAGAGGAAGGAGTGCAAGAAGTGATTGTGGTGCTGCGCAATTTGGGCGGCTGCAACATGAGTGAGGAGAAAGGAGAGACTTTTGCGGAATTCTATGAGCAGATCATGTGGGAAATCACGTCTTCGGCTGCACTTTTGGACATTCTGCAGTGTCATGTTGTCGTGGTGAAGAACAAAAAGGTATTTGAAGTTTATAGCTTGATTTGTAATAGAGAAGAATTTCTACAAATTGATTGATTATTCTTTCAGATTCCACTTCACAACTCCCTCTTCAGCAACATGCTGACATTCCTGTTGGAGATCAATCTGAAGCGCCTGATGAGCAGCATGAAAGATTTCTCCGATCTTCACCTCGGCATGATTGAATTCTGCCATGCAGTCAATCAGCATCGATCGTCATGCCTCAAGTTCGCGATGCCTCAGTTTGTGGCGATCTTCAAGGGTCTGGTGCACGGTATCTGTGGCTTTCGCAGCGAGCGGAGCAAGAAGGATAAGCTGGACAAGGAGGACATTGAGATTCTGACTGGTCTGGCGCATAAACTCGAAGTCATGATTGCCTTCATGGCGTCCAAGAGCAAGAATGCCAAAAGAGTGGCTCCATTCATGCTGGTCTTCGTGATAAACGAGATGATCTACAATCACAATTCGGCGACACTAAATCCAAGTGTAAGTTGATAGTTTGCATTTAAATACACTCAATCTTGATAAAATATAGGAAAACTGCATAATAACCAAGCGAGAATCAAATTGACAACCAATTAACAACTTTATCACTGAAGTTTTCAGCAGATATTCGCACAAGTCTCTTATTAAGTATGTAATAATCTTGTTAAAAGTTATGCAAGCTTAAAAATTAATCAATTCTTCAGGTTAGAATGTGTTAATGAGCTCAAAATTAGAAAACATGTCATAGAGTTTTTAATATATTGAATTTGCAAAAAAAAACTGAAATGTATCACAGTTTAGTTGCAAGAATTCATGTTTTTCGACTTAATTTGCTTTAAGTTGATTAAATAATCTCAAAATTTCGTCTAATTTGTTTGACAAAGAATTGTCAAACAAAGGCTAAATGTTTTGGTTGATGTTTCAGATAAAAACCCACATAAACAACATGTGCCACTCATTGATCTCCATGTGCGACCCAAACTACGGTCAATTCATCCTCAGGAGTTGCTCTGAAGCGTCGCGCAGTGTCTACAAGACGCTGCTGAAGGAGTACGAGAAGTACCGCAAGTTCCACGGAAAGGTGTAAGAGACGTTTGCTGTACCATTTTTATTCTTATTTAAAAAGGTTCTGCGCGTCCAATATTGTTTTCTTTACACTTTCTCTACACATTTAATTGTTTTTTTTTGGATTACAGTTAATGCAGTTTCTTATTAAATTCTTTGTTGTCACGCACATTGTCATTCATACATGATGCCTAATCAGTCGCTAAAATATATAAATTTAGTTATACTTCTGTCGTTTGATCGTCAAAATTTGGGGGGAGGGGGGAATTGGGGAGGGAGGGAAGGTTCTTTTTCCTCATCTCATGTTTGCAAATTGTCACTTAAAAATTAAAGTTTTTCCTTATAAAATAGTTTTTTTCTTCTTTCCTACTCTTGTGTCTGTTAAATATTGTTTTTTCCACCGTCGCTAAAGTCTTAATTAACATTACGTGTCATACAATTGTATTTTCTTCTCCCAATATCAATATTTAGTATATATAAATAATTTAGATTTACGCTTTTTTTAAATATTTTTTTTCTTGTTCAATATCAATCTTATCAATAAGTGTTGAAGCAGTGTATTTTTTCCTTTCATTATTCATTTGCTATTTATTGTGTTCTTTTGTAAATCTCTTGTCTCTTGTGTTGTTGTTGTTGTTGTTATTATTTTTGTAATCATCATTCTAATTGTTTTTAGCATGTGAAATTTACCATGAGTCATTTTTTGTACTATGTTCTTTTTCTCATTTCCTTTTTCTTCATCAAATACATATAAAATTACTCTACTACTATTTTTTTTTTATTATTCATTGAAAATGTTTCAGGTTTCTCCTCCCATGCAATATACATACGTTTTATTGTTTACTTCTGCATTATTCTGCAAGTTTTTATTTCCATGTGTGTTTTCCTTTTTTTCACATGTGATACAAAATTGAGTGACTTTTCGCTATGGATCCTCAATCTTTCTTAGATTCTCTTCTCTAGCTACTATTTTCTGCTTTCGCCTGGGAATCTTAAGAATCAACTCAATTTTCACGACACACGCACATTACACATACCTTTCACGAAGGCTAAGCCTCTACCCTCCAATGGAATTGCATATATTTAAAGTAATTTGTAAAAGAAAAATAAAATAATATTCATAGACTCCGTGAGGAAAAACAAAAAAAACTAATAATAAAATAATAAATAAACTTTCCAACGAGACGAACATAAAAACAAGTGTAAAAAGCGGGGGCGCCGAGGGGATCACAAGGCTAGAAGTAATTGAAGATGGGGGTGAATTTGGGGAAGAGTAAATTTTAGGACAAACACGGCGACTGCTGATGTCCGCTTGGCTGCCCGTTGTGATGACCCGTTTGCTGTGGCGTCTGCTGGCCGCTGGGCTGGCTGGCGAGGCTGTAGGGCTGCTGCATGTTCGGCACCACCGCGGGCGCGCCGGCCGCCGGCTGGTTCTGCTGGCTCAGCTCCGCCTTCACGCGCCGCGCGATGTGCGAGCGCGTGTGCTTCCGCAGGTGATCCTTGCGGTAGAATCCCTTGCCGCACTCATTGCACACGTGCCTCTTCTCGCCGGAATGGATGACGAAGTGCAGCGTGAGCTGCTCCTTGCGCTTGAACGCCTTCAGGCAGATGGTGCAGACGAAGGGGCGCTCCGGATTGTGGCTCTGCTTGTGGCGCGTGAGGTGATCCTTGCGCTTCAGCGCTGCATTGCAGATGTCACAGATGAAGCTGCAACAGAGACACATTTAGTGATCATGGATAAAGTGCTGAAGGTGCTGAGCACAGAAGGAGATAATATGGCTAAGAAATGGCGCACAACGCGCTTGAAAGGCATTTCAAAAAGAGTAGAATAATTTTTTAGGACATTTGCAAATCATAACAAATTACAAGAACTTCTAGCTGCAATCATGAGGAATTTAAACCGACATTTCAAGGTTCTCCAACGGTTCTTTGAGATTATGTTTAAGTGGTTTAAGTATGATATGCAAAAAAGCAATTCTAAGCGGTGTCTTGGAGAAAATCTATACTGATGCTTGAGTGCTGAATCTCATGTCCTCTCTCACCGTCTTTCCAAGTTGTGTCCCACCAAATGTTGCTCCAGCAATCCACGCTCTGGATACGCCATTTGGCACTCCGGACAGCAGAACAGCGTGCTTCCATCCAGAGCTGTTGTCAGGCGTATTTCTCCAGGCTTCGGCCGCGGTTTTTTCTCCTGCAACACCAATAATAGTCTATGAGGTGATTGCAAAATGAGTTAAGCGTCACGGAAAATCAATAATGTTGCTGCAGGAAAAATTTTATCATGGGTGATTCATTAATTTTCCCATACAGTGTTGTTAATGTCCACATAATGGATATTCCAATTTCCAATTATATCAACACAGAAGAGAGTAGATTAAAAACCCATCAAAATGTTGCACTCAATTACATTTATCGATGGGTATTTTGGCGGGAAAGGGGTGATTTAATTACATTGGCTTTCAATTGAAATGATTGAAATGCTGCAATCTGTGGAAAAATGATTGCATTTTCCCCAAATGCATCACGTTCGTATTGCATTTAAAAATTAAACCGAATTTCCTACCTTCGGCGGTTTGGGTGCCTTCTTCTTCTTCTTTTTCTTACTTCCCGTCGTGTTCGTGGTGCTGGTCTGCTGCTGCGTGTGATCATTGGCGTTGGCAGTCTGCTGGTGGCTCTGTTGCGTTTGCTGATGGCTCTGCTGTTGATGCTGTGCCGTCTGATGATTGAGGTTGGCATTGTTGGGCGGCAAAAGACCAGCACCGAGATTATTGAGGTTCTGCGACTGTGTCATGTGAAGTTCCTAATGCATTATTGCTTGATCTCGCTCGTTAAGTCGTTCTATACTTACACTGAGTGGATTTTGTGTCTCCTTCTTGATGCTCTCGGCTGAGTACTTGAGGAAGTGATGAAGACTCAGTGGCAGCGTGCTGGCTGGCAAGTGAGACAGGTAGTCAGCGACGGCAGAACTGGGCGTCAAGGACTGCCAGCTCGGATTAACATTCTGCAGAACCCGCTTAGCATCTGTTTGTTGCTGTAAAGAGTATAAGACGCAGGGTGAGTGGTTTGATCTATAGCCAAAGCCCCTAGTCTAAGTCTAAATGACCGCTCAAGGTGGCCAGCGAATTGATAAAATTTGGCGCAAACACTCTAAACCCGAAATTGTAACGATTGTGAGAGAATAGCAGCTGCCACTAGATGTCAGCACAAGTGTAAGCTATTATTAAGCCTAGATCTAAACTACCTGAGGTATTTCTGGAGGCTGCTGGCCAACGGAGCCCGATAACGTCGTCTGCGGGTAGGATGACACACTGGACGACGTTCCCCCTCTCTGCTGCTTATCCGACACCGATTGCCCGTCTTGGGCGTATGGCGTCGAATACTGGTTCGTGTGTCCATTGTATTTGTTCATGTTGTTCACATCGTCTGGCCGGAACTTGCTCAGAATCGGCGCGTGTGGCTGATTGAAGTGCGGGATGTTGACGTTGCTGGAGTGATACCGATTCACATTGTCAGGAGTTGAAGTGGAGACAAGAGCCCCTGACGCTGCAAACTGATGAATTCCGGGAATGGTTCCCGGAAAGTGTCCTCCGAAGGGTGAAAAATTCATCTTCTCAACTTTTTCTGGCTGCTCAGTGTATTCCAATCATTCAATGAAGTTCGAGAGCTTCAGGTTCAAGGCTCTGCAAGGGAAAGGACATTGAATGGAATGTAGCTATAACATTGCTGTCTGATCACTGGTGACCCCTTTAGCTAAATATGCAAAACATTGTTGAAATTGACCTAAAATCCACTGCAGCTAAATTGTGGGCGAAAGGTTGATGCTATTTCTGTACAAAGGTAATTTACACCTCATAATTTACGCACAATTCGCGAGAAAAATATTTCTCATCGCAACCAAAAGGTCAATTGAATTGTTCGTGAATTATTAACACCCTGGAAATTTACGTGGTAAGAAAAATGGTAATAGCCAGTGATGAAGGACGCAGAGTTGAAAGTGTAGCAGTTTGAGGAAAAAGAGCCATAAAATTGCAAAGTAATCCTCAAATTGAACCCATCGAACCCCTACTCGTTTGGTTAAATCCTGTGAAATCGCCCCTAAACGCAAAACCTGGCGCATGGCGAGGAAGATGGGAAAAATGTGTCTGATTGAAAGCAGAAATTGAAAATTGTGCAGTGGATTGAGAGGGGGTGAATGACAAAAGGGTGAGTATGAGTGAGACAGCGTGATGCGCGATTGGGGGATGAGTGAGCGAGTGAGAGTGATGAGGGGATGGAAAAACGTTGGTCTGCGTGGTGGCTTTCTCCACCAGACTCGCACCACCATTTTGTGGTTGCTCAAAGATGGGGTTGGTGGGGTGGGTTTTTCACTAATTCAGCAAATTCGCTGGCATTGGGGATCTTTGGTGGGCAGTTCATTGAACAGCGCGCGTCTTGGGGCATCCGTCACGTACCAACATGGGTTGGTGCTGTGGGAGTTGGTCTGGAAATACACTGGAGGAACCCCTTTGCGGGGGTGTGGGTAGAGAGCAAAAGGGGTTCTCTCGGAGTAACTTTCACTTTTCTTTTGATACTCTTCCCAACCAGCAAACTCACACAAGCACATGCACACACACACACACACGCTCAGTCTCTGGCAAGTTTCACTTTGGAGGCACTTTCCACGGGTGAATCCTCTACCCTTCTCTGCACTCTCGTGAATTCCGTACACCCTTCTTGGCAGAAAAAATCAATTATTCACAATTTATATAGCCTTCTTCTCTGTGTCAGACCTCTTCCTCCTTTCTTATCCACCCATTGAGACTCTAAACACTCCCTCCTCTCGTGCACATCGCGCGACAGAAAAAAAAATCAATACAAATGGAACGTAGTACCGCAATTGACCCCACGGAATTGTAAGGAGGACATACACTTTAATGATTGCACCACACCAGAAGAAGTTGGAGGGAATTAAGCGACTACCCTCCGAGTCGCGCTCTTTTTCGGGATTCCAATGAGCGCGCCAGGGTGTGAGTGAGAGAGAGTATGGCCTCCTACTCCGCCGGCGCCATTCTCTTGACATCCTTCGGAAATCGAATCCAAATCACACAACTCACCGCCTGTCGGTGTGTGCGTGTCAGACGAGGAAGCCATGAGACATGACGCCAGCGGAGGCATTTACACACCAGCAACGCTGCTCGTTGAGGGTTTGACAGTAAATTTTACGTCAAAATATGACGTCTAATTGGGTGATGTGGCAGATTGAAAAATCCTTCCTCTTCAATATCCCAACAAGTTGTTAAAATTCGTAAAATGAAGAAAAGAAAGTCTATTATGTAGTATGTTGGATTTCAACGTCCCGCCCCAGCAGAAGCTCCTCCCATTTGAATAAGTCATCTTACACTAAACTTATTCTGTCTTCTTCTGCACAGAAATAATTTTTCACCAAGCACTTCTATTGCTTATGCTCTCTTCCCCGCGAATGGGAGCTTTGATGCCTTTAAATTATATTACAAAATAATTGGGCGCCACAGAGTGGAGCCATATGTTAACCCAGAGTAAATTCCTTTGGTTTCAGCCACCGGTAAGTTCATATTTGTCAACTGGCCCTTGTGATTTAGTTACCTGTTCGGTGTAATGGGATTTCCTGAGTTATCCTCTGCGTCCAGAGGGTGTTTCACTGTCATGAAATCGGAAATGAATTTCCCAGCACATTTCATATGCTCAATTGACTGTTCCTCCCAACACATCTAAGCGCTACCATTTAGCATCCATGTCCTCATGGAGTGAACGATCCCGTGAACATGACACCCGCACACACAACCTCACTGGCAGCCATCTCTCACCGCCGAGTACGGTGGCACACTCGAGATAGGTGCAGGTTTGGGGGTGACTTTATCCCTTGACGCCCGAAATTACCTTCACTTTCTGCTGGTGGGATACTCATGCACGTAGTCACACTTGTTTGGGACACTCTAACAGCCAGGAAAACGCGTGAAAAAGTGGAGGAAGTGATTTCTTTTGCTTTGCGCGCACGAAGAAATGTTTTTTGATAAAAATGTCTCGAGGGATTTGGCTTCGTCGTACGCCTGCCAACCCCTCACAATGATGACTCACACCAGTTTTTGAAGTGCGCAAAAGGGAGACGGAGGGTGTGAGCGAGAGAGAGGAGAATCAGAGAAATTCAATGAGAGAAGTTCCGCACCCTCTTGTCGTCATTCTCACTCACCCTCTCTGCACCACACACAACCCTCTGACTCCAGCCAACACACAGTGGCGGCCACAAGGGTTGAGACACAACAAGAAAAATAAGAAAATTTCCTGAATGACTCAAGCAATCCCACTTCTGAATTGTAGCAAATGCTTCAGTGGAAAATTTTATTCTGCCTTCAGAAGCACAGTTTAGTGCTGAAGATGGTCGAAATTGAACGGAAATAAATCAAGAAGCGTGAATTGACAAAATAAAATTGGTGTTCATATTTTTAAAAAGGAGAAAACATATTGCTGAATTTCATATAAATCCTCGCAAAACGCTGTAAAGTGGAATAATTTGCCAACTCTGGTCATAATTAATTATCTTAGCTAAATTGCTGAAGTGGTACTAAAGTGCACATAATCCAATCTCACAAATAGTTAGTGTAATAAAATTGCGGGCTATGCGCTTTGTTTCCTATAAACGCCACTGTACACAACTTCCAACCCCAAGACTATCTCTCTCACTCACTCTCTCGCCCTGTGCGGCCCCCAGTGAACGAACCCCGAGTCACAAACACAGCCCTAGACTCACTCTGGGGTGTTGGTGTGGGAGGAGGACGTTCGTCCTGGCCGCGCACCGCGGAAATCCTTCCCAGAGGCCCTCGTATTGCACACCTCCCGTCCAGGAGCTCGAGAGCACCCCCAGAACGCTGCTGCTGCTGGTCGGACGGAGGAACACACCAAACTACTCTCGCGCCTCGTTGACGACTGACGGGTGGAGGGTCGTGTTTTTGGGGTGCGAGCGAGCCGGAGGCGGGCAGGGTGGCGGACTCGGGGTCGGGCGGGCGTCGTGACGAGGAGGCGACGGAGTATTGAGCCACATACACACTGTCTGCACGCCGGCACACAGGCGCAGCGGCGCCACTGTGTTGGTGCGAAGGGGAAAATCCACAGTCCTGAAGCCGAGGGCGAAAATGCCACGTCCACGGCTTCATGGTGGAAAAAAAGAAGAGTGACAAACTGTGGAAAATGCCATTGAGGAAGTCCACCAGCACCACAAGACGATTATCTTCTGAGGAAATGTATCGACAGACTTAGTCAACAAAGTAATGCATTCGAATTTACGCTGAAATTGCTGAACGCGGATTTTTCATATTATTGGATTAGTAAAAAATCAAAACATTAAGAAACCTGTAATGTCCAAAAGATTTTCTATCAGAAATTTCCTTATTCATATTGATATCGGAAATATTCGTTTTCTTACATTATTAGGAGGTACGAATAAAAAATTTAATGTAATGACGTCAGAGGATGAGTTTCCTCACACCATAAAGCTTAAAGCTTGTAAAGGAATGAATCCAGAAGCAAGGACAGCAACCCTCTGTTGTGTATCTCGTACACAAACGAAAGAGAACCCAATGATGATGAGGTTCTACGGATGGAAATCATCATACGGAAGATATGAAATGTCTCCAATTCGCTAAGAAATCTCAATTAACCATAGAAAAGCCAAATATCTGTTCATTTGCTCAACTTTAACTAAGAATTTAGCTAAAAGAAGTGATTTTAAAGCTTTGACTCGCTGAAAATTTGCTAAGAAGGCTTAATTGATTGATGAAAAGCTAAATATTCAGCTAAATTGCTTTCTATTATCATCAATTTGTAGCTTAAATTTAAGCTCACACCTCAATAATATTTAGCTAAAATTACAGTGTTGGCTGGGATGTTTGTACCTCACAAATTCCTTAAATAAACTTAGAGAATTCGGAGCAAGAAATATTTGCAAATATTATTTTGGCTTCACAGAATCGCGTGGCGCTGCGTAAGCCAGACGGAACTCGATTTATCTGCAAAATGAGTATCGCGCTAACGGCACGTACATTTTCTGAGTGTGGAAAGCTTGAGAGAGAAAGCTCGAAGGGACTTTCTGTCCAGTGGCTCTGAGATGTCGCCACCAGCCCTGAAATCGTTGAAGGTGAATTGATGTTCAACAATATAGGAAGCGTAAGAAATTGACTGACTGTTTCTGGATTGAGAATCGAATTCGTCTGGCTTTGAGAGTTTTCAGTAGTTGTTAATTTTGCCCAAATATGTGCATGACAAACCATGTGCGCAAATTTTCGTGTGTGTCAACAAATGAGCGACGACGAGATGAAAGTCTACCGAATCACGTGGCGGGAATTTACTTATGCAAATACAAATGAGGACTCTATCAAACATGTGTGCACAACTGCGAAGAGGCGCGAAAGAAACTCTTTCACTGCAGAAGACAATTGCCGATGGTTCCGGGAAGTGAAAGACGTAGTTTTTTTCCTTTTTTCAAATCAATCATATTTTCATTTTCTTAATCATGTCATCTTCTTTTGATATCACAAATCTCTTACAATCCTAGTTAAAGCTCATTGATTGTCGCCCGTATTTTTGGGGCTGTGAAAATGCTAAGAGAAATCGCTTGTCAAATTCAAGAAATTCACTGAGATACAATTGCTCATCATTGTGAAAAAAAAAACAAAATTAATTTGGAAGAACAAAAATTGCTTATTTGTACTCTAGCAGAAGATTTTAACTGATGAGTCTTGGAGTGATTTACCTACTAATTAAATAGTTTTACACGTTGATGTAAACAACAGAAATCGGTGGATCAATCTTTTGGAATTGATTCTGTTTGCACTGGGATTTTGCCGCGAATGTCCTTCACCAGGGTCGCCAGACTTCGCCTCCGGCGGCGGCCTGCAGAGCCGGCACGACTCTGAGCAGGCCCGCCGTGTTGCCCTGCACCAGAGTCTCGGTGCGTGGTGATGGCGAGCGGCAGGAGCGCGAGGACGCGGGCGTGAGTGGCATGGTGTAGTGTGGGCCGGTCTCACTGCTGCACACGGAGGCCGACGGCGACGAGGGCGGCGTGTAGGGCGGCTGGCTGACGTGGATGGACAGCGGCTGGATCTTGTCCAGTTCGTTGAGGCGGTGTCCCAGGTGGGTCATCAGCTTCGTGCCCAGGCCGACGTCCACGCCGGGTGTGGAGGCGAGGCAGCGCGACACCTCGTTGGCGGCGTGCGTAAAGCCCGCACGGAAGCGGTCTGAGTCGATCACGGGATTGGCACAGAGGCGCTGTTGCCGTCGGAGCTTGTGCAGATGACGCACTGTGAGCTCCAGGATGTCCGCTTTCTCCAGCTTGGACACGTTCTCACCCTCGGACTGAAGCGCCGTGACCATGAGGTCCTTCAACTCATCCAGGCACCGGTTGATCCTGGCGCGTCGCTTGCGCTCCAACATCGGCTTCATCACCTTCCGGTACTGATACGTGCGTGACACGGGCTCGGCCTGCGGCGGTGGCGTCGGGCCCTGCTTCACAATCACTGTCTGGTACTCTTCACTCGGCACGTTGGCCACGTACGGCAATTCGAATTTCATCCTTGCAAGTCTTTCGCTCGAAGTCACGAGTTAACACTATATATGATCACTGAGTGAACTGCTCACAGAGACTGCCAGTCGACGACTGTGGAAAGAGTGTTCTGCTGCGAACCACTCAGCTCGGGTGTCTCAATGGAAATGCTCTTGCAACACACGAAGTCCCCTCCTTTTATAGACATGCCCATGTACCGTGGTTCATGAGAAAATTTCTGTTCCCACGAGTTTGGCCACCTGTGACTGGCGGCTGCAGCTGCCGCTCTGCCTCGACCCTCGCCCTCCTTTGCCATCGCCCAACACTCTCTCGGGCGACCAACACAGCGCCGATTATCGTCTCACTGCCGCACACGCTTTTCTCAACAATTGCCCGCGCCGATCGGGAAAAGCAGTGTGAGACAGCGATGGTCACACTTTTGACACGGGATCTCGGCGCATTGTTCAGCCAGCACTTTTGACTATTCCTAACGAGGCACACACGAGATAGAACCACATTCCAGCGGATATTCATTTCTGTGCCTCGACTCGTCGCATGATCGCAATTAGTCACGATCTCACTCGATCACCCACATGCTCAGTTGGGTGGAAAGGTCACCTCACCGCGAAGCCTCGCCTAGAACACACCGGAAAGCGCGAATCCTGCGATGGTCTCAAGAAGTGAGCTTCTGCTGAATTGTGATTGATTGTCATAGGATGCAGAATAAACTTGATTCCTCATCTGAGTCTAGTATAATCTCTATTGACAGTGTTTCATTGATCTTAACGGCATTCACTTTTGTCCCTTTTCACCCTGATGTCTTCTTCCGAGCCAATCTTCAACTTACTTATGATGATTTCTTGACTAGAAACTCAAAGACATCCTTCTCATCCCTCACACGGTGGTCGAATGCATTGGTGTATCTTCTGCATTTAGCGATGTTGTCTCCTCTTTTCTTCTAATTAACGCTCTCTCTTCCCTAGCTGAGCACATCTTCTGTCTAAGGACTATTACTCATGTGCCCCATAAATTAATTCCGAAGGCGTCTCATAACAAGTTTGAAGCAGTGTTTGGTAGAATCTCAACACTTAGCGCAGCCATTAGGCCATGTTTGTCCGAAAGATCACGTGAATCGAGTTGGCGATCGGTGGTCCAAGATAAGTGATGTCGCGTGGGGAGTTAGAAGAGCCACTGGCGCTACTAATATGTTGTATTTTAATTGATCGATTGAGTTGATCATGTGTTCAAACAGTTGCGAGAGATAGGAGTATGTATTTTTGTTGTTTGTTGGGGTTCTCGTACAGGAGGCGACATCGTCTATTTGAGGTTAGGTTTTAGCGAAAAATTCGGCAGTTATTTTGATCATACTATTTTTCATCGCGACTTTCTTTTCGCGCGAAGTCACAATAAACCAACTATTCATTCATTTCGCGCATTCTAGTTGTCAATTTTCTGTGCAAAAGTTGAAGAAAAATGAATTGCAGTGCAATTGGCTGTGAGAATATCCAGGGATGTAATCCCCACGTCTCCTTCCACCAACTCCCACACCACGAGAGTGAGAAGGTGGTGAGGAAGTGGAGGAAAATCTTGAAGAAGTCGTCAGGTATTGAGAAGAAGATCATCAGAGTGTGCTCTGACCACTTCCTGCCTGACGATTTCCACCCCACTTCCCGAGCTCTGCAGGGAGAGTGGAAGTGCAGAAGGAGATTGAAGAAGGGAGGTAATGATTTATATACAATGCAGGTTGTTCTTTTTTATTATTTCATCTATAATAATTTTCAGTTTTCCCGACGAAAGTTTGGACATCTCCAGAGCTGAGCCGGGCTCATCCAGATGCGAGTCTGGACCTCATCCAATCTCTCAACCCAGAGATTGCAATTCTATGTAAGTTTCAGAATAGAAATATGTGTAAATTGATTGACTTAAATGTGCTCTCGTATTTCACAGGGGATCATTCCTACGCAAAGATCATGCACTGCGGTAATGGAGATGAGTTTGAGGAGAGAACTGCAGTCTTGAGAGACGAGGATGAAGAGCTGAATGATGTGATCCGCGATGAAGCCGGAAGTGACAAAGAATCGGAAGTAGATATGCTCTTCGACAACACAATCGAAATTATTTCGGATTATGAGGAGACAGTGGAAGATCAATCGATTGATAAGTTATTTTTTTTTTTATAATATTCAATAACTCTATATGGAATTCATTAATTTTTTCTAACAGCATCGTCGTCAGCAGAGCAGAAGACGACACAAGACAAAGAATTGCATGAATTGAGGCAACTGAAAGATGCTGTGTTGCAGATTCTCACCCCAAATCAAGTGGACCTGCTGCTGAAACGGAAGAAGAAAGTGAAGTGGACAAATGAAGAGTTATCTAAGGCATTTGCCCTTAGATATCTTGGCACTACAACGTATAATACCATCACGAATCTGATACGCATCCCTCAACCCAGCATTAGATCTCTGCAGCGCTATGCAGCTAAATTTGAGATTACTGCTGGGATCTTCAGCAGTGTCTTGACTATGATGATGGCAGCAGCTCAAACAATGACGGAATTTCAGCGAACTTGTGTGATTTCCTTTGACGAAATGGCAATATCTAAATTATATGAGTATAATGAACGCGAAGACACTGTCTATGGATCTCACAAAAACATCCAGGTAAGATATATGCAGATTATTTAGCGAAATAAACATTGAAAGTTGATTTCTATACGTTTTTAAAATCTTGTACTGCTTTCTTGACTCATTAATTAATTCAAACCACTCCTGAATTCTGAAAACGATATAAATTTAAGATTATTTCATATCAACATGTTCATTTCTTAGTTTAAGAGATTTATGAATAAACAATATCATCCAATTGAAATGATTTACTTGTCATTGTCTAAAAGGATTGACCGATTTCAACAAATAACCTAAAAAATTGATATATCTTTAAAGGTAATTATGGTAAGAGGTTTGTTTTCGCCGTGGAAACAAGTGATTTATACAGATTTTGATAAAAGAGTCACGAAGAAGCTCCTATTTCATATTCTCAGTATTTTGGAAAATATACAGTACAAGGTGAAGGCAATTGTCTGTGATGGTGGAGGCGCAAATCAAGGATTGTGGAAAAAATTGGAAGCAAACTTCGAAAATCCATTCTTTCTTCATCCCAGCACACAAGAGAAAGTCCATATATTCGCCGATGCTCCTCATTTGCTCAAGTTATTCAGAAATTGGTTAATCGACAATGGTTTCATGCTTGATGATGGCACGAAAGTCACTAAAAGGCCACTTGAAGAAATAGTTCGAATGGGTGGAGATAGCATCTCAAATATAAATTTGAAACAGCAACATCTGGAAATATCTTCGGTAAAAAGACAAAACGTTAAATTAGCAGGACAAATAATTTCCCACAAGACTGCAGTTCAGCTGAAAAGGTATCTTCCGCAATATTCAGATGCACAAAAGCTCAGTGATATCATCGAATTGGCGAACAATTGGTTTGATATATTTAATGTGTATGAGCCCGCTTTTGAGAAATGCCAGGATTCAGAAGGTTCAATGAAATTTGCCTACGGACTCAACATGGACATCCATGATAAAGTCCTTAATGATATGGAGAAGCTGATGTTGAGCATGAGAGTGAATGAGAAAGTGCGACTCCTTTATTTTCAAAAGGGGATTGTAATGTCGGTAAGAATCATTTGTAAAAATGTGTGACTTAAACTTCGTAAAATATTCTTAATTTTATTTCTTCCTATTCTAGATTCGGTCGTTGAGAAATTTGTACAAAGAGATGTTTGACAAATTCTCCATACAATATATATTGACCAGTCGGCTAAATCAAGATTGCCTCGAAAATTTCTTCTCTCAAGTCAGAGGCAAAGGCAATGGAAATAATAATCCGACGCCTGTCGACGTTATTGAGAGAATTCGTCAACTAATTTTGAGTAGGCAAGATATACAGGGTGGGAAAAATGTCAACATTTTAAAGCACGTAATTGAGGATGAATGCCTCATTCACAGCGTGTTAAACTCACCTAATATACAGGACATTTTTCCCATGCCAATGATGGATGCCGCAGAGAATGAAGACGCCAGCAATCATTCGTCTGATAGGGAAACAATTTCCATCCACCACGACTATATTGATAATACAGCAAAATTCTCGCAACAAAGAGTGGATGGAATGGAATATATTGCTGGCTTTGTTGCCAGCAAATTTATTGATGACATTCCTCATATAGGCACGAGGTCGTGCAACCTGACCGAAAGGACATCATATGTTCAACAGTTATCCTACGGAGGACTAATTGTGCCTAGTGAGGATTTCATTAATTTTTGCGAGAAAGTTGAATTTTACTTCGAAAGATTCCACGATTTTCATCTCACTTTTAAAGTGAAAAAAAATGTTCTAAGAGACACGTGTGAATTTATTAATGAAAATGTGGACTGCAGCAGATATTCAAAAGATGTGTTGAATACTTATGTGAAGCAGAGAATTAAAAACAAAATAATTTACCAAAATAATCACTTAATTGAGAAGGAGAGAAGGGCGAATATGTATAGGAAAAAAGGGTGGGCGGCTTCACAGGAGCAAAAGAAAATTCAAACATTCACAACTTAAATAAAATAATGAAAATCCGTGAAAAAAGAATTGTTTAAATTTAAATTCCCGCGAATTCACTTCACCACGAAACACAAATTTAACTATACAGCTTCTTCTTCTTAAAATGGTCGCTTGTCGCCTCCTGTACGAGAACCCCAACCAAACAACAAAAAATACAACTCCTCGAGTGATCATATGATTGCCATCTTTTCTCCCCGAAAAAAAAACCTCTATACGCCTCAGTGAATTTTTGTGTGATGATCCACGCGCGAGCTGAACTCTTGTAAAGTGATCACAAGTGTTGGAATGTCACTAATTGCTGCCGCCAAGGTGGCGCACGGGGGGCGGTTGGTGGGGAATAAATAAAATTTGCCATAAACAGCCATCAGAGGAAGTCTCGCGCGATCACGAGGTATTTATTTTATTGGCAAAATGCCTCGCGGAGTGTCTCTCGCGAGCGCGCGGCAAAACCACCTCCAATAGGTAACAAAGCCACTTGATCAGCGACTCGTGCCCACTTGCTGCGGAGATACTGGACATGCTTATTCACAACACCATCTCAATTT